GCGCCCGCCGCCGCCGCCAATCCGCGCCCGCCCGCGGGAGGCAGCGCGCACCGGCCCCGGCCAGGCAGGCTCTGCGGGGGCAGAATCGTGACCCGAGGGGACAGCATTTGCTGTGGATGCCCCTTCCTACAGCCTGGCACCGCCCAGAGGAGAGGGAAGGACAAGGGGGATGATGAGCGCTTGGAGGGGCTTCCTAGGAGGGGGCAGGAGAAGGGTTTACCACCTGCAGGGTGCAGAGAAGAGAATAGGGATTTATTATTGACTCTTTCCTAGATTTCATAGATCTTTAGGGTCGGGACAGACCGCAGGAGATCATCGAGTCCGACCCCCTGCCCTGGGCACCAAACTATAGTCTCCCCAGTGGATCTGTGCTCCTTGCCGGTTGTCTGCAACAGGAGTTTCTGTAATTGCCATCCCCGTTATGGCTTCTAAGTGTCCCTGGTCCATCAAGGAAGCCTTCCTCACCCTCTCTTTATACCAGCTAAACATTCACCACCACTCTGTGCTTGTGGGCGCTGTCTGCTGTAGGTGAGTACCCAACATGAACCCTGCATGCCCCAGGAGGCTGGGGGGGCACGGCGACTGCCCACAGGCAGCCACAGCAGTGTTGGTGGGGGGCGGGCAGGGGAGTGAGTCTGTGACCAGTGGTCACAAGAACAAGGGGTCACAACGTGAAACGAGCAGGCCGGCAGTTTAAAACCAACACAAGGATGTTCTTGTTCACCCAGCAAGTCATTAAAGCATGCTTCCACCGCACCCGGTGCCCACAAACTCATGTCCACCAGGTGCGGTGGAAGCAGCGAGTTCAGCCAGATTCACAAAGGGATTAGACACATGCTTGGAGGAAAGGGGCATCCATCCCTATTGAGCACAGGAGCGAGGGGCACGGCCTCTGCTGAATCAGACCTTCCTGGACCTTCAGTGCTAGAGGCTGCAAGGGAGAGAGGAGCAGGGCAAAAACCCTGGGTAGACCCAGTCACTCCGCTCTCTGCCCCCGTGTGACACGTGAGACTGGGCAAAACGGACCTATGGTCTGACCTATCGATGGCAATTCTTATATTCATAGATGATGTTGTAGCTGCAGTGGTCCAGAAATTATGCAAGGCAAGGGTTTCTTAGGGTGATGTCTGTGATTGCACCATGTTTTCACCCTAAGAAATCCTTGCCTCTCTCATAAATGAGAAATGCAAGCAGCAAGGACAGCAGCAGGGCAGTGCCAACGCTGCCTGCACAGACGCAAGTTATTTACCATGATCTGATGGGTAATCATCAGCACCCCCATTACCCACAGATACATGCCTGCAAGTCGGTCCCAGTGACTAGCCCCGCCATTCTGTGCTGCAAGAACTGTCATGTAAGCCACACAGTGGGGGGTGGCTTTTATTAATCCCAACCTTTATTAATCGGTCTTTATTAATACTATGATCTCAGTATAAACTCTGACAACATAGGCTCAAAAATCTGTACGCTGCAGAAGTGAAATTGGGCTCAAGCCATTTACCATCAGGTAGCCCACAGGAAAAGCCTACTGCATTTGCGGGACATCCTCTGTAACACAGAAGACGTGGTATCCAGGAGGTAATCCACTGGGATATCACATTTTACCTAGATCTGAGCCTCTTGGAAAGGACAGATGGGCCAAATGCTCAGCAGAGGTAAGTGCTCTGCCGACCTCCCCATGAGCCACTCATCTGTAAGGCCTTTCTGCACCTGTAATGATCAGAGAAATGATAGTGGCTTGAGCAGGGCCAGACTTTGAGGGCCCATGGGTGTCTGCTGTAAAAACTGAGGAGGGAGAAACAGGCGGTTTCATTAACACATTTCCTGCGTTTCTCTTCCCTCACTCATTGCTCCTGAGGACATTTCCATAGAAACAGGATCTTTGTTCCTTAGCAGTCCGGCTTCCACTAACAACACACAGCATCAGAGAGGAGGGTAGCTGCAATCAGCTCCATTGTGTGTTAGAAAGGGGTGGCCTTCCAGCTCCGGCCATTCAGCAGCTGGACCTCAGTTTCCTTGATTAAAAGGTGAAGGTAACCCTGGCTGCACAGGGACCAGGTGAGGTGTCTGTTCATGCCAGTAAAGCACGCTGAGATGCTCAAATAAGACAAGGCATCCTCCACACGACTGATGCATTGATGTGTCCTCATGGCCTTCAGTGAGTGTGGCAAACTCCATCCACACTGGAGCTGGGACTGCAGCCAGACCTGGCCTTCCTGAGAAGAGCTGGCAATGGATAACCACGCATCCTCACCGCTTCTGATCACAGCTCTCTCTCCCCCCCACTACATTGGCCGTCATCCATACCATGAAACTCAAATGGCTCTGCTTGAGTGTCTTCGTGCAACCTCCACTGATTGCTGCGATCTGCAACCTCCACTGATTGCTGCGATCGTAGCACTGGAACAGGCACCACCAGTCATCCCTTCAAACCCTTCCTGGCAGCCACTTGTCAACCGCTCCTTCATGGAATCAGCCCCATCAGATACTGGACTCCTCGCCCCTCCTCTGCCCCTTCTTGGAGAGCAGAGCCAGAGTTAACAACAAGAAAGGTTCTCTCCAAACAGGGAGCAAGTGCGATGACATCCAAGCGGGGTGTGGAAGCACGTCCAAGGGACAGCTCCTGCCCTTGCATGCTGCGGTGACTCATGTTGCAGTGACTCATCCGTGTACATGTATGTCTCTGAGGCCCAGAATGGTTTAGATCTGTTCCCTGCATGTCAAGGCTCCCTCCCTGAGAAGCCCCTCCATTGCTTCACCAGGAACTGGCCTGGCCTCCCAAGAGGTGTATTCTAAGTGCTCTGTGCCTGCGGTTAGCTGATGGCCACATACCTCTGCTGATTACGGCCCCTCCCTCTCCAAACACCTTCATGGCATTAGTCCCAGCAGGATGTGGCACTGCAAAGATCAATGACCAGGAAACCACAGGCCTGATGCAAATAATAATACATCCTACTCTACAGCCCATGTAGAGCACAGGGTCTCTAGAGCGGCTGCATGACCCGTCCTCAGTTACTGAAAGGAAATAAAGTCAACCCTCTCAGGAGTTTGCTGAGGTACTTCAAATTGGCTGATTTTTGCTCCATATTTGTTGCTAAAGCAGGGAGGGGTCCAGCCTAATGAAGTCATGTATCACATGTGTCACTCTCAGCACTGCTCCAGGGTACAGCAAGTGATGGCTCACTTTTATTTTGATTGAATTAACCCAAAAGCAACTTTTGCTACACCCTCTTGAAGCACTTCAGAGCCCCCCAACCCACCATGCTGCAGCAGCTGGCCTCTGGGCGGCCTATAATCCTTGATTTCATTCTCCTAGGATCTTTTATTTTCAACCAAAGTCAAGAAAAGGAGACAGGCCTTATTCTTCCCATTTTTTTATAGGGACCGGTCATTCTGGTTACCTGCGGGTGTCCCACCGGTGGAGAAGACAGCCATAGCCAAAATACTTCGGGGAACTGTGACAAATAAGCTTGGCTGCTTTCCAACACTTGTGGGCTAGGATCCAGATCGACGGAGAATTCCCCTTGTTCAGGTACTGGCATTCATATTTTTGTGTTGGCTAATGAGAGAGGTGCTCAGCACAATGCAGCATATGCAGGGACAGCCTCTGGCTCGCATCCTGAACCGACTGGAAGTGCCTGGAGACCTGACTGCCGGCAGCATTTCTTTCACCATCTCGCCCACTGAGAGATTCGGTATCTTTCCAGATTGGCCCCAGTTGCTCACGCAGCGACATCAAAAAAAACAGCCGCTCCTCGTGCGAAGGGGGCTGGAGTCACAAGGTGGAGCCATTGTGTTTGTTTTGCTACAGGAGCTTTCTGCTTGGGGAGAATCTGAATGACAGTGATGGAGGGGGCGAGGCTGAATAACTGATCCAGACAGTGTCCCCCATCATAAAAGATTGCACGAGCTGCTAAATAAGAATATGGGGGGAAGTGACAGACCAGATGCTACATTAGGAAAGAGGCAGGTGTCAGGAGGCTGAGTGGATGGCCTGGAGACCCACAGGGACGATGCATTTAATCCCACATCAGTCCTAGCCCCACCCCAAACTGAAAGCCCTTCTCATTGCCACCTGCTCTCATCTTTCTTTCTCATATTTCATCCTGCTGCCTTCTCATAGCTCAAATTCACATCTTTTTTCCCCACTCTACTAGGGGGAAAATAAAGATAAAGCCTGTTCCTGAAAATTCACACAAATCCAAATGTCTTCCCCACCAGTTCTACCCCAGGAGACCTGCAGGGCCCATTGTCAGTCTAGCAGGAGCAGGAAACACAGACTAACAGGAATAATGAAAGCATCAACACCTCATAAAACACCCACCAGAGAAACTCCATGAAATCATTAACAGCTGAGCAAATCACCCGGGGCAGAAAAAGCTTGTCTCCTCATGTGACCTGGGGATGCAGCTAAGAGACACTGGAGTCAACACTGCATGAATATCCAATTTGGAGATTGAAAGCAGGGCAGATTTCCTGAGCTGCCAACAGCTGGGCTGATGTGGAAATGCCAGGCTGAGATCCCTGCACTGCTCCAGTCTGCAGAGCTCCTCTGATCAGGACATGGGACTCTGGAGACAACAGACAGCAGGGAGAGAAGAGATGGCTTTGCAGTTCAGGATGGGACTGGGTAGCCAGGCTTCCTGCACTCCCAGTCTGTCCATACTGCTTCTGACAGTGCCCAGTGGGGGACTGTGTCGGCTCTGCTGGGAAGAAACACACCGCCATTAAGTCCTGTTACACACGTGCACTAAATGCCAAACAATGTAAGGTAGCCACCACTGCAACAGCACTACGTGTACACCCAGGTGGTACTGGGGGACGTGCAAACTTGTCACATTTTTTTCAACATGTGGCATGCATGAAGCAAGAGGGCAGGGCCTATTCTCACAGCTACCCTCCCTGGCACTGGTCAGAGGCAGGGCAGACTCATCGCTGTGCAGTGCCTCCATTTCCCTATCCATAAAATATAGAACACAGTATTGCTCTGCCTCCCAAAGATGCTGAATGAGCTGCTGGCCCACTGCATCCTTCCAGGGCCGGAGTCCCAGGCTGGCAGAGCTGGTCCCAGAACAGGTTTTACAGTTTTGTGGCTGAAACCAAAAATCAAGACAAGAATCTGGTTTAAATAGAACTAAGACAGAAATATCAGGGGGCAGGGAGGGGAGGGTTACAGCTAAATGAAAACCAAATCTTCTTGGCTCAACTTGAAACCTTTCATTTGATTCCAAACAAAATATTTTGTTTTATTTGGGGCTTATTTAACCCATTTTTGAGCTTTGGTTAAATTTAGGTTAGCATTCAAAAGGAAAATGCCATTTGGAAGCACGAAGTTTAGAAGTTCCATCTCAAAAAATGTCCAGATGAAATGTTCTGAAATGTTTCCTCTGTTTTGTTTCAGGCACGAACTGTTTGTCATCTTTTACTTGAATTTTTTAATCACTTTAGTCCAGCCGAAACTCTGCTTATCAGTAAATTGACGATTTGTTGGAGAAAATGTCCTCCAGCTGTGCCGACAGGGAAACCCTAACAGACCTGGCAGAGGCAAGTTCTGTCTTATTGAGTTGTGTGAGATCTTCAGACCTGAACAAACACCACACGAGATGCGGTGTTGATCTGAGTGTAATAATTAATGGCTCTTTCAGCTTCAGCCAGTAAAGACATGATCACTAGCAATGTAGGTGTGGATGTGTATCTTTCTGGGTCTGCATTCAGGCCAAAGCCTGCAGTCTTTACTCGGGCAAAGCTCCCACTGGACCCACCATGGACTTCAGATACTGGTTTGTATTTGGGAGTGTTCTTTGTTATAGGATCGCGCAGAGCAAGACAGTGGATTCCTCTTCAAGCAGGCAGCTAGAAACCTACAAACTGGCAGATTCCCTGTATCAAAGAAGTAGTACTTTTCCCAAGTGAAACTGCAGGGCAGTTTTATGAGGCTATCAGTGCCCTGCCTGACTTAATCTACCTGGTCCAGTAGCGTTTCTAAAGAACCTACCATCACAGCACCCACTATCATCATCTCTGTTGCAGTTCTTCCCCTGAGCAAAGGGCTCATGTGGTGACGGCTGTGTATTACGTCAATATGTTATCTGTACAGACAGTCCTCAGACGTACGACACAATTGGTTCCTGAACACCCCCCCCACCCTTAAGTCGAAACGTTGTAACTCGGAACCAATTTTCCCATAGGAAACAATGTTATAAATGGAGAATTGGTTCCTGAACCAAGGCCCAATACCCTATTTTCACCAAAAATAACCCAGAATTTTGTACTCAATCAATTATAGATGAGTAATATAGCTACATTAATGTATTTATATTGTAAATAGCAATCATATTGATTTGGAAAAACTTCTTTGAGGAGACTCTGCTAGACATTTTGAAAGGCTCTTGGTTGGACTTTTTGAAGGGTTCTTGGCTGGAGTCTTCTCAGGAGTCCCGGCTGCAGGTTTTTCTGGAGTCTTGTCTGCTTTTCTTAAAGAAAGTGTCCAAGGAAGTTTGTGTTCCTTGGGAGGAAACACATCCCAAGTTTGTGTTCCTTGGGATGTGTTCTCCAGGGAGATGGGTGATGCAGTGAACTTGTTCATTGACATGGCTTGGCGTTAGATCAAGTGTTGTAAAGTCAAAACTGACATCAGAAGGTTGAAACAGGTGTCAATTTATAAACACTGTAAGTACGAAACATTGTAACTCGTAACGATGTAAGTTGAGGACTGCCTGTATAGTGGTACTATACGGCACAGTACAGTACTCCCGTATAGTAGGAGCCCATGGTGCGAGGTTCTGTGCAAACACTGAGCAAAATGGTTCCTGCCCGAGAGCTTGGAATCAACACAAAACAAGAGGCAGCAGCTGGACACAGACCAATGTGAGTGTAGCAGGAAGCAGTGAGATCGTCTCTATGCACCCCCTGCCCAGCTTCATCAGAGTCACCATCTCTGTCATGCCACCATCCAGGTTTATGGCCAGATCTCCTGCAGAACTCAGTTCCTAGTAAGGTCAGTAAACCACATGGCCATATTTGAAAATGTGCCTCACTCCCAGCAGTTGCCACTGGGGAACAGAGGTTTTTCAAATCTGGTGGCTTTGCTTCAGTGCCTAGATGGAAGCTGGGCTCTTTGCCTGTCTTATGCTGAAGGTCAGGCCGGATGGTTCCTTCTGGCTTCACCTGTGCATGAGTCAATGACAACCCCAGGCCCTTCACACTTACCCTTAACAGCAGTTCTTTGCAACATTTCATAAGGACTCTCCATGCTTCTCACGCTCATTATGAGTGCTACCGAGGTCACCTCCACTGGAGTATCTGTGTGGAGATAACACATGTTAAAAAGACTGATCCACTGGGATGCACTCATTTTGCTTAGATAGAGCAAGTTAAGACTTAATAAACACAACATGTTGAGCTTTGGAGTGACGTAAATGTGCAGCCTGTGCAATCAGATAAAGCACCAAGAGACTGGAAGCCCTGGGGAGCAGAAAGATGATGGTTTCTTATAAAGGAAACACTGGGGTTCCTGTACAGAAGGATTTTTTGCATCTGAAATCTTCAGCCCTGTCAATCTGTCTGTATCACTCCTAGCAAATTCACATTGGATGGGCAGCTGCGAGTCATGTGCTGAGAGTACACAGAAAGGACCTGTCACTTCCCATCATTCACTGGGGAAGGACTTATCTCACTGGAGAGCTCTCCCGGCTGGGCAGGACCCTGCCGCTATTTGCACTCTGGCACCTTCCAGAGAGTTTTAAAGAAAAAAGTAGTCCCTAATGATAGGCACTTGGGTCTTGACGCTGCACAAGGGGGCAGAGAGTCAGCTAACCTGTTGCTTCTGCCCACAGGAAGTAAAGCAATGAGCTGAGCTGCCCCAGCTGACTTCACTCTTCCTTGGAAAGCTCAAGGAGGCTGATCTGCATCTGCTTGGGAACACGGCCCGTTGGTTACACAGCTCTAGGAGCTTTGTACTTCTCTCAGTGGCCTGCCTGTGGCATCTGCATTTCCCTTAAGCCTGAGGGAGATGAAAAATGGGGGTGGTGCATTGGGGGTCACTTGCAGTCCAGGCAAATCCCGCTAGTCACTGAGAGATGTGCACACACCACACACGCAGGCCCTAACCAGATGCCAGAGACACAGCAGTGACCCTCTCCTCTGCCCCAATGCCACAGCCCTCCTTCAGAAAGAAGCGACCTGGGATGCATCTCCAGGAACAGGGTACAGGCTGCATACACAGTCCTCAGGGCTGCCTGCTGCACTGAAGCATCAGGGCCTTCTGCTTCCCAAAAAATAGCCCCCAGCAACATGAAGGAAAGTCTCCATGCACTAGGACTAGGACTGAGACATTTAGGACACCCAAACACTTGCGGTCAATGCAGTCACACCTGCCACAGTAGTGAGTCTTATTCTAACCAGCAGTGGGAGGTGGTGCACAGCTCTACACACACAGAGGACAGCTTCTCTCTTCCAGGCTTGCTTCCAGCCTCTTCTGGTCTGATTTCTTTCTCCCTGGGGGAAATGGGGCTACCTGGATAGATGGGTGCTATTACTGCCTCCCTTGAGAGCTGTTGATTAAAATTAATGCAGCAAAATCTCTCTTAATCCTGTAAGCGAACTTCTAGCATGCCACCACCAGCCATCCGTCCCAGCTCCCACACGAAGGAGAGTGCTGCCTATCCCCGATCTGGTGATGGGTACGTCCCAAGTGAGATGTGATGGCTTCCAATTTTCTGAAGGTCGAAGCGTTTAACTGAGAGTGAGTTGCTTTGCTCTTCATGTGATTATGTTGCCTCTCTGGGTATCAGGCTAAGTCAATTAAGTTGCTCATTGCTGTCTCTGCAGCTTAAAACTAAATTGCCCAAAGTTTGTTTAACACAGCAATTCATTGCTCAACAGTTCAATGCCTGTGTGGGGAGGTGGAAACGAAGCAGTCTGCTAAACTGAGAAATACAGAGGGCTGCCTGTGCAACACGCTGCCCCACAGAGGTTGGTTTGGGGTGTCAGGGAGATCCATCTCCAGCTCTACTCAGCTCGAATAAGGTCTGCAATGCCAGGCCTCTTGGTTGGGGGAGAGGTGGGATGGTAAGGTGAATTCTAGGGAGCAGAAGATCAACAGTCAGAACCGTTTCACGGAGATATTCCCCCTGTGGCTGCTCTGCCAGACTCAATGAGCAAGAAGCAGATTATGGGTCTGATGCTCTCCTCAAATTTGCCTCCCTGGGTACCTGCTGTTACTTCACCAACTTGCTGTGTGTATAGGTTTGGGATTTCACAGCTCCCCTTTCATTGATTTGACAGTGGCAGCATGGGTCTGACTCTGGAAAACATGAAGCCATGGAAGCAGACCAGAGCTGAGCAGCTTGTGGGCAAGAGCAGAGCAGCATGGGTGACTGATACGATGTTCACAGAGAGAGTCAGGGACTCAAGATGCCGGTGGGTTGAGCTCTGAGGAGTTTTGTTGCTTCTTTGACAGAAAGATGCCCAAGGTGGAATCCGTCAAGGATGACAGGCTGGTGGAGCGGAAGCCTGGCCATCGAACTGACAACGAATGTATTAGGATAAGGTGGAGCAGTCGTTCCCAGGCCAGGCCCTGCAGGATTGGCACCAGCCCTTTGTGAAAGACTGGCTTCAGTGGGATCTTGCAGGTGAAAAGTCAGAGGGTTACAGAACAAACCTACCTCCCTGGGCACCTTGGAGCCTCTTCCAAAGGAAGGAGAGTTTGGAACATCTTGTCATGGATGTTCAGGGCTTAGCTTGTACTCCCCTGGGACCCTGGCCAGAGAAAATAGACTGATGGCTTTTTTTCTGCTTCTGCTCAGCTCCATCGTAAGGTGCCAAAAGATGCTAACAGGTTTGGCAAGGGAGAGCCTGAATCCAGTCAAAAAGCTGTTTCCTTGTTTATTAATCCTTGAAAAAGGTTTAATATTTTGTTCAAAACATGCTCACCCCCAAACTGCTAACCCTTCCCTCCTCACCCCACCATGGGAATTCTTCACCTTCAACCTCTTTATGCTCCAGACCGCTGCTGGGAGTTTGGGTGGCAGATAGTGGTATCCACTCCCACACCGCCTAATCACAAGCATGTCCCTGTACTTTTGGTGGCAGTGAACAACCCCAGGACAACAGGCAAGCCACTAACATGGCAATGCACCCAGGAGAGGCACCAGTTGCAGCAGGGACCATGGCAGCTGGCAGAAGGCCTGGGAGCAACCACATGCACCAGCTACCAGAGGCTGGACAGTGACGCAGTCTTCCTTGGCATAGCAAAGGCAGTGCAACATGCTGGCAGCAGGAAGCTCTGAGTGTAAATGCACTCCAAATTCTTCCAGCACCAGCTCACATGTGAGGCCAAGCATCAAGCCTCAGCATTCGATAGTCCTAGATTAGACTCGCACAGTATTCATCCCTTAACCACATCATCATGGCTCCAGGGCCAGAAAGCAGCCTCAGGCCATTCCTGACTGGTGCTGAGCCCTTTCATTTGCACTGACTGCAAGAGGGAAGGAGACCACACAGCACCTGGCAGGTCATCCTGACAAGTCAGGGCCTGATTCAGCTGGTACTTCAAGGAGGCAGCAGGGGCTGCTTGTGTCCTTAAAGGATCTTAAAGAATTGGGGCCTGAGTAAGCACTGAGTCACTGCTGTGGCATGGTGCTAGAAAGCAGCCAGCTGCTGGGGATGCCATCTGACATCCTGCCAGCTGCACTCAGTAAGAACACTGAATGCTGGCACCTGAGCCAAAGCCCAGTCAGGTCACTGCATCCTGCCCCAGCAGCTCCTCTGCAGTTAGTGTCATGCAGAATTTTTCTTCACCTCTTGTCTCAGGCTGTGGCACACAGATAGAGTTCAGTCACACTGACTTACTAGGTCCTGCTGGTGTCTAGCTCTGCCTAGGACACAACCGTAATGCCAATCTCAGACACACTACAAGACGGGCAGAAAGAAAATGAGAGAGACTGCAGAAACCACTAGGAGGGAGTCAGTTTGTCTCACTCCCGAGATGGCTGTATTTCAAGCGGTGGTATGACACGAGTGGCAGTGATTCGATGGTGTGATGTAGCAAATTGCAAAGCTGATCACAGACTCCGTTAGCAACCGTTTGTCGTGGTGCAGAGTGGAATGGTACTGCCTCCCAGGGAAGGGGTCCAGACACACAAGTATTTGAGGCACTGCCTTTAAACTTGCAGAAGAGAGGGAGGATCAATGATGGGAAAAGACTGATTATTGCTTTATGGTTGCTATGGCATCTGTTCTCTATATTCTGTCACTTATGCCTCTGAGACAGTCCTCAGACCAACAGGACTGCATCCTGCCTCTCTAACAGGCACTCTTCAGACAGAACCAATCGGCAAAGCAGCCTTCTCACCCTGACTGCATAGAAGGGAAGACACAGGAGCCGCATTCAATTCCGAACCATCTGCCGCCCTATGAATAAAGGCAACAGCAGCTCCCAGACAATGAAGCACAGATCACTTCCCAGTTTAACCACTTCAGCCAGGGCGCAGGCAGGAGGATTCCTGGGGAGGAGACCCCAAGGTCTCACACAAGCGCAACCACACCAGAAGTGCCTACCTACTCACTGGATCATCAAACAGAAACGAGATGTTAGGACTGAGCAACACCACTTGGGAATAGAAGACCTGAAGAGAGCAGTCAATGATCCCTCCCCAGGCCTGAGTGCATCCCACAGTACAAGTGTTGCCACATCGTGTCTTCAGACAAGGAATAGGCTAAAGGAAAGAGGGGATTTGCTCACAAAGCAGCGTGCCTCACCTCAGTTACTCCCTGTAAATTGTTCGCTGGGGACTGTCAGGGCTCCTAGCTGGGCAATCAACATTTTGGTAGCTTTGTGCTGAGAGTAAAGGAACAGCACCGCAATCTACCTCACGCTGCATCACCAATAGACCATCTCTGTTTGTGAAGTGTCCAGCACTGTGGGGACCTGGTTCCCAGCTGCAGCCTCTAGGCCCTGTCATAATACAAATAACAGCAACTCAGTGCATCAGTGTGGTATAAGAGCTTTCCGAAGATATCCTAGGCCAGTGTGAGCTGAAGGGGCTCTGGCAAGAGCTCTTCTGCCACAACTGCCTGAAGCAGCCTTTGCACCATCTTGTCTGTGCATGGAGGAAACTGGACAGGGAGGAACTCAGCCACAAACTTAGACAGGACAGTGCTGATTAAAGGGTTTCTCCTTTGAGAGACTGGGAGAAGTAGCTTTTCTCTCTAGGGCTGATTTGATGATGCCTGTGTACCAAAACCTCTCCTTGATTTCCCCTGGCATTTTGAATGTGCAAGGAATACAGACCTGGGTCCTGTCCCTGAGACATAGAAGCTGCTGCAACGTCTCCTGAAGAAAGTCCACAGCATGGCCGGAGGGGGAGATGGAGACGCTGGAACAGAAGACACCAGAATGTCAACCACGGAGGACAAGATCAAGGCAAGGAAAACGTAAGCAATGCTGTAGGCAGTTACTGAGGTCTTGCAAAGATACGCACCACTGCTCTCTGCTTCTTAGCAAAAAACTACCTCAAGGCATATCTGGGAGATAGAGGAATGTATTAATTGAATATGCACCTGATAATCTACACCTAAACTTTTTTTTGTTGAATCTGCTGATGGCAAATAATTCATAGTTTTACTTTATGTTCAAAATATATCCTGTGTTGGTCAGGATAGGTGCACTCTGACCCATGCCAGTGGCTTGTGCCATTTTATTTCTGGCCAGACTTGGACAAACACAACAGTATCCTCAGGTAGCACAAGTCAGTCAACATGGTTGCACTGCCCATGGCTCTTTTCAAAGGACTGGAGCAGCAAATTTAGGGAGTGTAAAAATCTTTGATCCTATGGTCTCATTTTGTGCTGCAGAAAGCAGGGACCAATCAACAGCCCTTTCTCAAGCTAAATGCCCATTGGTTTCAAGGGTGAGCGTGCCAGAGTAAGGACTACAGGGTTGGGCCCCTGAAGTGTAAAGGGAAGTAAAACACAATGCCACGGAGCTCATGTTCCTTTCAGTGTTACTATTTACAGGACGACCTCAAATCATGGCAGGAGATTTTATCATCATTTTGACCAGCCGTCCCATTTCCCTCTGCAAAAGGCTCCCTTGGTTATTTGTTTCCCTGCTTTGATTGAACTGCTCTGCTGAATTCATGTTAGTAATGAAATTTGTCATTCTGCCAATCAAATTGTAAAGAGTGTAATGACCTTTCATTATAGTGAAATCCCCTTCATAATAACATTTGCTCCACAAAAAAATTATTCTATTTCAGACAATTTATTTCTGACAACCCAGAGCTCTTTGCTAAATCAAGAAACAGGGAGTAGATGAAGAGAGGGAATTTTAAATGATATTGGAAATAATTCCAAAAATGCAGTGATAGGAACCAGAAAGGCATCAATGCCTGCTGGTTTATAATGGGTCGGACAGGTTTTGTGACCTAAACACAGTGCGTTTGGACTGTGTTCATATCATGCCTGTTGCATCTTATCCAGGACCATGACATTTTAAGTCAGCTCTATCTCAGCACAGATTTTCTCTGGGTGAATAAATGGCAGTGTCCTTTACTTAGTTATGATGTCATGATGGTGATCATAAAAATAAAGGATGAAGAAAGGGCTGTTTACCAGACAATGTAAGAGCAAAGCAGAAAAGCTGCTTCTGATATAAGAAATGCACGGTCCCTGTTCAAATACACCTAGCCATGGTCTGTATTGAACCTGCCATCCCCGGCCTGCTACATAGCCTCTGTTTGTAGGAAGCAGTGATCAGGCTCCCAACAAAGAAATGTGTTTTTGCCCAGGCTGAATTGCTCCAAATCCACATAGTCTCTTAGGAATGAGGAGAATGAATCTCACACTCCGCCCTGCAACCTCCTCGTCCTGCGCACAAGCATAGCATCCCCCTCCAGTGACAGCAAAACCCTAGAAAGAGAACCTATCAATACCCAGTGCCCTTACATTGGTCCCAGCATTTCAGCTCCGTGCTCTCAATGAAATGCTTTCTCCACCCCCCTCCTGCCTTTGATCAAAGGATGGGTCCTTCTGAGGGCTGGTGTGAATTTCCAGACTGGAGGTGGAGAACCCCAGTCTGTGTGACCCTCCCCTCCTTGGTTCTGTCATCAGCAATACAAAATCCTTCTCTTCTCCAACTTATTCAGCTTGAATCCTGCAAGATTTGCATTGGAGGCAGAATGTCAGAGCAGAACTCTCCAGCTCAGGCTGGTAGCCTTCCTGGGCAGGGGACAGGAGCGAACCCCGGCTCTGCTGCCAACCCTGTGCCGCTCGTGACCCAGACAGACTCCAGGGACAAATGGAGCAAAAAAATGGATTTCCTCCTCTCAGTAATTGGATTTGCTGTCGATCTGGGCAATGTCTGGAGGTTCCCTTATATCTGTTACCAGAACGGAGGGGGTAAGGACAAAGCTTTGTTTATTTTAATCTGCTTTTAAAGGAAAAGTAATGGCTTTTAAAAAAAAAAAATTTAGACTTGGAAAACTTGTTCTTTCTTCCCTTTGCTTGGTGGTTGTTTTACAGCCATGACTGCCTGAGCCAGGCAACTTCAGGGAATGATACAACTACAGCTTTGATGCGTCTCTCTTTTCCATGTTACCTCTACTTGTTTTAAATCTTTTTCCCCCGATGCCCTTCCTTCTGCAATTAGAAGTGTGAATTTCTGCTTTGAGGAAGAACACCACATGTTTTGCAATTAATACATTTAAAATTAAAAAGAAAGGAAAATTATGAAAAAGGACCACAAAGGTCAAATCCTGCGCAGTGGCTGATAACTTTGTGGTCTTGCCAGTTTGTGAAACTGATCCCGTTTGATGTCTTGCAGTTTAAGATCATTATTTCAAACATCCCAAATATCCTTGATTTGAGATTATAGGCATATCTCTCGTACAATTACAGTCCTTTAAAATAAAGCCAAAAAGGCTTGTCGCAGAGCTGTCCATGGTACTTGAATTTAGATGTCTATAAAGCAGCTTTCAGTAGGCTCAACCAATTAATTAAATGTTCTGATTATTTCTTCCTGACAGAAATTAACTTGAAGTTGAAAATTCCCCAGAATTCTACTGTTAGAAAATGTTTCTAGCAACTGTTTAGTCAATGAACTGTTTTAAATAAGAGTAGAAAAATCTCTTTTTAAGAGTGCAAAAATGTGGAAATAAAGATGTTTTACATTGTTTGCAGAAAACACGGTGGATTTGATTGCCGAAAGTTGTGGGAGTTCGGGTGTCATGCTTTAATGTTTGGGCAAATTACAAGAAAATAATTATGCTATGCCGAAGGCTATAGGCTAGATTCTGATTTCAGATTCATTCGTGTTGCTTCAAAGCATCTGCACTTCAATCCATGGGATTACTCCAGATGTACTGCAGTGTAACTGAGAGCAATTAATGGCTTGTTGTCAATTTACCTTAAAACATGCACACAGTAGAAATCTAAAAGGCATTTTATAAAAACATTAAAACACTAAGATGCTGTTCTTAAAAAATAAAAAAAAGTCCAAAAGGCACAAAGAGAAAGAGTGAGTACCTGTGCAAGCAGCGGATGTAACTTGTTCTTCATTTGTGTTCCTAACATAAAATAATAACAATAATTGGGCTTGGACTGACTGGCCTTCCCTTCATGCCTTTGTCCTGCAATAGACCTTAGAGAACTGTTAGCACCCTTGTTCAAAGACCACCTCCTAAGCTCCTTCTCCACGGCATACCCTCTCGTTTCATCAAGCCCCATTTCTCTGCTTCTCTCTCAATGAACCACTGAGGCAATGTAGGATGAGGCAAGTTGTTACACTGGCATCCTGCAAGTTATTTGCAAAGTCAGAAAAAACTTTTACGCCCTGTCCATAGTGAATGCTCTCTTTTGTTTGCGTTTCAAAGCAGCGATGATCAGACAGCGCAGCCTGGATGAATTCAGATGGTCAGGGCCTTTGCTTCCCTTGTGTCAGGCAATGCATGCGTATCTTTTCGGACTCTTCCTCGGCAAATTAGCAGATTCTATAAATAGCCTGGCACAGCAACTGCAGTGGACCACGTCTCTGTTATCCATGCCTGTGTTTCTCCATGTTTCTCGGACTGCTTCCTGCTGCCCTCCAGCAGGGCACACGTGGGGCATGATAGCACTCATCATGTAGGGAGATTCCTAGTGCCCCTGGCACAACATCAAACATATAGCTCAAGCAACAATTAGTTAACCTCACTTTTAGCTGCTATAGGAGACATGCCGGGGACGGGGGAGGGGGGCGCTATTTGTAGACCGAGTTGTTTGCCTCTCCAATTTATAATAGGTGAAGGGTGGAGTTACAAACACTGAAAACAATCAGTCACCAAATGGCATCATCCCTTCCCAGGCCACTTGCAATCCTGAAAAACGATGTGACATTTTGGAACCCCAGAGGGATGTGGGGGTGGCCATTCAGTCCAAGTCAGACAGAAATGGCTTCTACCAAAGGTGGAGGGTGATTGCCCCAGCAGCTGCCTGGCAACACCTGTTCTGACTGTAACTGGAGTGTGGTACACCCCCTCTGACTTCCTCCCCAATACGACCCAGCATTCAAGCGAATGCCTGTGGCCGGTGTCGTGGCTGCCTATATTCACAATGCAGCCATGCTCAGGATTGGGCCCCATTGTGCCAGGTGCTGTACAGACATAGCTGGATGGACTGCTGTAGTGGCTGGAGCCCTGCCTGTGACCGTGAAGTGAGGCCATTCCTATGAGGCCAGGCCACTTTCCCTCCACACCTTCCCCTTCACAAACCTGGCTACACTCAAGTCTTCCCAGCTAAGAAGCCCTTGCACTCTGTCTTTCTGGGGAGCAGTGAAAGGCAGCAATGCTGGACTGTGTTATGTATGCAGTTCTGGTACACTGCCAAGGCCAGAACCAGATTATTAGAGGAAAATGAGCTCTTTCCAACTGACACAGGGAGTGCTGGGGGCTTTACCTGAGACCCCTACGCCTGAGAGTCCCAGCACAGGTTCAGAAGACCTGGGTAGTTCAGAGACTCATCCAGACTCCGGTGTCCTGATCCACACACAACATGGGCACGACCCCTGCACAGGTCCCTCCATGCCTCGTCACGCAGCTTTGGGAAGAGCAGTAAACTTCCTTGCTCATATTCACCGCTGCCATGAAATTGCCCACATCTTCCGATGTGACCCTTGCCAATGGCCATTCAGCAAAAGGAAAACCTTGCATGCCCACTGGCTGAGACAAGTCAGACCAGCCATCTCTTTGGGTACAGGACTTTCAGTGGAGCCGGGGGGGCCTAAGTTAACTAATTCCCTGCAGGATTACTCTGAGGAGTGTAGAAAGCAGTTCCAGCTAGAAAGAATCCAGTGGGTACAAGTCTAGCCCCAGTAATTACTGCATTATGAAAAATGCAAATGACAATGTTAATTATTTATCTGGGAGAGGGACAATGCATATTCATTGGGAGTTTCCTCCATAGAACCTTTTCAAACCTGAAAGGTGCTTAATGCCTCTTTCCTCCCCATTCTGATGCTGTCTTGCTTGGGGTTACAGCTGGTTCATCTCTTCCTAACTAAAAGCAGGATGGCTTTAAGCCACAATGCAGCCACACACAAAGTCCAGAAACTCCCTGTGTGTCCCTGCAGCTCCAAAAAAGAACACCCTGATTCCTTAGCAAAGTAAAACATGGAGAGGAATGGGCTTGAAAACTGTCTGTGGCAGATTGGCAGTGAGGGGACGCAGAGCCCTGGTGAGCCCACATCTCTGGAGAAGCCACTTGGGCGATGCCGCCTCTTGGAACCAAGTGTGAAATCCTGCCTCTGCTGAAGTTGACAGCAAAGCTCCTGTTGACTTCAAGAGGGCCAGGCCCCCATCCCCGATGCCATCCCCTGTGACTCTGACACGGGCCGGGGTGGCTACTCCTTCCCGGAGCCTGTATGCAGCACTGATACTCACCCAGCCTGGGTGAACCTGCCCTCCCTGCTGTTGATGACTACAATGGTTTTGCTTCACTCTCTGTAGGGGCCTTCCTCATCCCGTATACCCTGATGGCCGTCTTTGGAGGGGTGCCTCTTTTCTACATGGAGCTGGCCCTGGGACAGTTCCACAGGACAGGAGCCATCCCCATCTGGAAACGGATCTGTCCCATCTTTAAAGGTAAGACACCCCTTCCCACCCCCAGTTTAATTCTAGTGTATGTGCTCAATTCTCTGCTTTGTCCACGCAACAGATGACAGGAAATTCCTGCAACCACAGGCCCAAACCACACAACAACATCTCACCAAAGTATTTTTGCTCAGTGCTCAGAGAGCTCAGCAGTTCAATAGTCCCTTCTAACCGATTAGCTCACCGGGCTTTGCAAATACCAACTAAGCTTTGCAACAAGCTGGCCAGCAGACTTAGAGCAAACACCGCTCACAGAGGGGGAAATTCATGTGCAGAGAGAAATGAGCTGACTTGCTCACAGTGACTCACATGCACTGTCAAGATCAAGACCCAGGGACCCTGATCCAGCCCCTGAGATGCTTCCTGTATCAGACAGAGTTCCTCAAAATCAGAGTCGTCTCCCCAAAGATTTATCCCATGGTTTAGTGACCAACAATTGCCAAAGTTGTTCCATTACACTGCATTCTCAGGGCCACGGTTATCCCCTGCAAGGGCATGATTTCCAGAAGGATGATGCCTCTAGCTGAGAACTAAAAAGAGAAGGCTCCAAAGTCACCACTCACTCTACACTATCCTGTCCGAATGCCACGTGCAGGAACCCTGCCCACACGGCAGTCAGGAGGAGCAGGCACATCTCCTGTTAAAGCAATCTCTCACCCCTCACAGGGATTGGCTTTGCCATTTGCATCATTGGCCTGTACGTCTCCTTCTACTACAACACCATCATCGCCTGGGCCCTGTACTATTTCTACTCCTCCTTCACCAGCTCCCTGCCGTGGACGAGCTGCGACAACCCCTGGAACACACCCAACTGCACCAACTACTTTGGAAAGAGCAACGTGACCTGGAGCAACTTCTCCAAGTCGCCGGCTGAAGAGTTTTATACGTAAGTGCATGTAAGTGGAAGACATAGGTGGGCTGGGAAAATTCCTTCTCTCCTTGGGGTCCAGCCACATGCTAAGGTCTGCTGAGCGAAGGACCAGGATCTCAAAGGCTTATAAACACATACCCCACTGTAATTTGCAGTGCTTTGTATCTTGATGTAAGTTAGACTGAGATTCTGAAGGGGCAGACCCGCAACTACCCCGGGGCAGCTCATCCAACAGGTGGCTCTGACTGCCTGGCTGGTAGGTGATGGAGGAGCAGGTAAGGCTTGTAGCAAATGGCTACCCTAAGAGGAGTCTGGACAGACAAAACCTAACCCAATGTAATTTCTGCTGGTGGAGTTTTACACCAGATTCCTGCAGAGCTAAAACTCCACCAGACTAGGCAAATTTGCCCTGGTTTAGGGGCTTATGTCATCTGCCTGCTCCTTTGTTTATGCTGGTGCAGTGCTTATTACACTGCTATAAATGTATTGTCTGTCCAGCGCTTCAGTGATTTGCTTGCCTAAGGCCGCTACCCACACTGAGTCAGGAGCTGAGCCTAGAGTTCAGGAGTCACCCGCTACTAAAGCAAGCTCTCTGCAGGTCTGCTGCAGCTCCAATGGTCTAAGCTGGGCACACCTGGGGCAGAAACAGATCCAGCCACATGACAAAAGACCCCCAGGTGACAAGACTCAGATGTGCCTTCCCCTTCTTGGATCAGCACCTAACCCTGGATTTCTTTTGCCACAGGAGGAAGGTCCTTGAGATTCAGAAGTCCAGCGGCCTGTATGATGTGGGTGGGGTCCGCTGGCAGCTCCTCCTCTGCCTGCTCCTCATCTTCACTATTGTTTACTTCAGCCTGTGGAAAGGCGTGAAAACCTCAGGGAAGGTAACCAAGCCTCCAACTCCAGTTCTGCCTAAAGGCCTTTCTGACAGTGCCACATCTCAGGAGAGCCCTCATACCCTGTGAAGAGGACCCACTGCATAGCATCCTTGCTCAAAACAGAGGGCCCTTCCCTGCATGCTCTGCCTCTCCCAAACACACACCTTAGCACAGGAGCCTGGTTAACCAGGTTCAGTGATGCTGCCTGACTTCACAGCAGAGGGGGACTGCAAATTGCAAAGAGTTGTCTAAACCAGACTGATTCCCCTGTGTGTTAGGAGTCACCCAAACACTAAGTACATTTGGGCACTCAGATCTGATAGGTGACAACCTGCTAACAAAGGGGAAAGGCAAAAATCCCCCAATCGATTATAACAACCTGCTCTGCCCTCATGGGGTTTAAAAGATATAGGTCATTCTTTCATGGTAGCCTCCTTGCTCCACATAGTGCCAAAATCTTGCAGGAATGCTGTTTGCTTTCAGCCCATTGCTAAAGAACAGCATAACCCTGTTATACAGAACCCCTGTGGGACCAGGAGAAAAGCTCATTAAAAGAGGGTGCTCGCTATAAAGAGGCTAGTCAATTTGCTGCATCTTAGTAATTTAAAAAATTGGCTCCTACTGCTGGGATTGTTAAAAGGGGGATGTTATAAACAGGGTTCATTATAACGAGGTTGTGCAATAGCATCCCTCCAACCAGGTTGTGTTCATTGGACTGGCCATTCCAGTTCCATCACGGCCAGCGAGGCCTGGGGTGTCTTCTCTGTCTGTCTCCAGCTGGAGTCTGCCTCCCTTGTCCCTGCCAGTGACATCTGGCCCTGCTTTCCAGGTGGTGTGGGTGACAGCAACTCTGCCTTACGTTGTCCTCCTCATACTACTGGTTCGGGGAGCGACTCTGCCCGGGGCATGGAGAGGGGTCGTCTTCTATCTCCGACCCAACTGGGAGAAGCTCCTGAGCACTGCAGTAAGTGTTAGCAAACAAGTCCCCTTCAAGGGCTCTGCCCTGTGTAGCCAGGTGTTTGTTGGGTGTAGCCAAGTTTTGAGGAGCCACGGAAGAGCCTGTGAGTCAAGCAAGGAAGGGTTAAATGCTCTGTTTTGGCTTTATACTAGAAACTAGCATGAACTTCAGCACTGAATTGATGACCCTAGAGAGGTCATGTGTCTCTCAAGACAGGCAGAAGGGGGACCTGCTAGCTCCACGCACTCCCCAGGGTTCATTGCCTAGACTCAGTAGCCTTGTCCACAGCAGGGAAAATCAGATGCACAAGAATACTGGCTGCAATGGAAGCTGTCCCATGATACAGAGCGGCTGCTGTGTCATAGGACACTGCTCTGAGTCTGACATGGAGGTGAAAATGTCCATGAGTGGCCTTTCCACTACAGTGTGGGGCTTAATATACAAAAGACAAGAACTGGCAGGGAGATATTGCTAGAACAGCACGCCGGGGAGAAAACATTAGCCACAGTGTCACATACTTTAATGAGAAAGTAAGTGTACCTGTTGCATCTCCCGGCCTGCTAATCCGCTCCAGCCACCTCAGCGGACAATGGCCTTTAACAAGGAGCTTGTTCACACAAGAGCCAGCGCTTGCAGGTCCATCGGGCACATGCCCGGCCCAGATGAGAGAACCAGAGAGTAATGGGTTTATTATTCCTGCACAAAATAGCGGCATGCTGGCCAAGCTCTTGGAAATGCAAATCTTTAATTGGATCACCCATCTCATTTGCTGCCAGGTTCCGTTCCTGCCGCGTTCTCGCCCGCCCGTATAAAGCTGGCCTGACAATAGATTTCCTGTCTGTAATTAGCACAGAGCTGCACTTGAGCATTTTCATGAAAGGTAATCAGCGATATGCTCTCCAGTTAGAGCCTTTCATAACAGAGACAGGGCTAATCATTCAACAGCCCTCCCTTTTCCCAGTCACTGTGAGCACAGCTGGAGCAAAGGGAAAGTTTCAGGGCACCCCAGGAAGCAAAGCTGTCACAGCCCAAACGCCTGGGTGTACACCCTGTGCACCCTGGCCCATTGGGCAGGACCTGCCCTGTGCCTGCCTGGGATCTAGGCTTTCTGGCTGGGCCCAAGCCCTCAGGAGACACCTGCAATCCTGCCTCCATCCAGCTTCTCTGCTTGCTCTGCCAGGTTTGGGTTGATGCTGCTGCCCAGATTTTCTTCTCCTTGGGCCCTGGATTTGGCGTTCTTCTTGCCTTGGCCAGTTATAACCACTTCAACAACAACTGCTACCGGTAAGAAGCCAACTGTGGGCTTTGCTTTGGTGCCCTCAGCACCCCGGAGGCTGGACTCCCCTGCTTCCACATAACACCAGCTTATCTGCCTGCAGGAAGCCTGTTGGGTGGTGTTCCAGCTGCTAAAAAAAGTCTACCCAGCTCTGTTTACTCCTAGGCAAGCCGAGTTATCCTGCCCAAACACAGCTACTGCCTCTAGCGAGAATCCTCTTGCCTCTGGGCCAACAACTCCTGCAGCTAGAAATGCAGGAGCTTTTGGGAACGGCGCCCGTCCCAGTCACTCTCCCCCTTTCTGCCTTTCAGGGACGCGATCGTCACCAGCGTGGTGAACTGCCTGACCAGCTTCCTCTCGGGCTTTGTCATTTTCACAGTGCTGGGCTACATGGCTGAAATGAGGGACGTGGAAGTAGAAGATGTAGCAAAAGACAAAGGTTTGCCCTCCGTTAGCCTTGGAATAGTCTCTTCTGCCCTCCAAGATAATGGATACTGGTCTGCAACCATGTGTTGGGGGCTGGGTGATTAATGGTCAATCCTGCAAATCCAGATCCTGAGCTATGCCCCTGGCTTTGCTGTATGAGCTCCAACATAGGCGACTGGTAGGAGGGACACAGGAGTGGGGCATGTGCCCCCCCTGACAGGGTCGTCTTCTCTGCCAACACCAGCGGCAGCTTCTGCAGGTGCTCGCCAGCCCTGTCCCCACTGCCAATGCTACCGCTGGCTTCTGCAGGTGCCCCCCCCGACTCGGGAGGCACCAGTTGCCCATGAGCTCCGGCAAGCTATGTTGCCTTCCTGTGCCTCGACTATTCCCATCTAATTCAGAAGAAGGAAAAACTACCTTCTTCACAGGCCTTAAGTAATGGTTGTCAGGGCAGTGAGCTGGCAGCTCAGGTGGGGGCCTTCCCTAGGAGTGACCAGGCACTGAGGGGGCTTGGGCACAAATTGGGGCAGAAGGCCAGGCCTGGCAGGTGTGAGTAACAGAACAATTTTCACCTGCACAAAGAGGAGTGAGGCACCTACTTCCTCTCTGTGAGGGTTGGGTACTGAACTGCCATTCACTCCTGCCTTGGACAATCTTCTCCCAAGAGCTTTTCTAACATGGCATGAAAATCCCCGTACTTCTGCCAGTGGGCACGAGGCAGAAGCTCCAGGATTTTTGTCACACAGGACCACATTCATAGCAACTGGTGAGCAAGGAATAACCAGCATCTCCCTTCCAGGTCCCAGTCTGCTGTTCATCACCTATCCCGAGGCCATCGCCAACATGATGGGCTCCACCTTCTTTGCCATCATATTCTTCCTCATGGTGATAACTCTGGGGCTGGACAGCACGGTAGGTACCTTCATGATCCAGGAAAGGACTAAGTGCCCATTCCAGAGCACCCTGCCCTTGAAGGATTCCTCCGTGGCCAGAACTCTGGTCAGTGCTGGGCATCCATCCAAAAAACAGGGCCACAGGCTGTGAAAAATACCCTGTCTCTTCTCCTCTCAAAATGGCCCATGTGCAGGTTATTTCAATGGGCCTTTTACTCATTTCTGCTCTGTATAAGGCTGATTCTGCCTCCCCCAGGCCCCTTTATTAACTTCAAAGGGACAAGGAATTGGTCCTAAGCGATAATCCCTGAGGGGTGGGTAATCCCTGGTGTTACTCAGCCTAGTGATGCTGCTGACGAGCCCCCAAAATGATAAAGGAAGTTGACTTTTCTCAGCGCTGGCTAGGAAAGCAGGGACAAGCACAGCAGGATGGGTTTGCATAAAAAGGTCCCCTCTATTTTATGATTTTTATTTCACTCCAGCAATTATTGTAAGAGTCCATAATTTTTTTTCATTTGTAAATAAGACGCAATGAACCCTAATATTATCCAAGGATAACATCTGTGCAGCATACTTCAAATTTGAGGCTTGATGGACAGTGTGCAGCCAGGGAAAGGCCTTTGGAGCTAATCATAAAATGTAATATCCAGAGAGAGTCCATGGGGTTATAGTGAATTTTGCACCAAGTGCAGAATCTGAGCCTTTGTTTCCTTTTTCTGGCTCCCCCACTGTTTCCTCTGGTTCCTGCACAGTTTGGAGGCTTGGAGGCTGTGATCACAGCAATAATGGATGAATACCCTCACATCCTGGCAAAGCGGAGGGAGCTGTTTGTTCTTGGCCTCATCACCATGTGCTTTCTGGGATCTCTCACTACACTGACGCACGTGAGTATGTCAGAGAGTGGATTCAATGCCACCTCCTTCTGCTGCTGGACCTTCATACAGGCCGCATGGGAAATGCCCGTGGGAGAGCAGGCTGCTGCTGACATACAGCCCCGCAATGGGAACAAGCAGAGAATCTTCATCTTCCACAAGGGCATTCGCCAAATTTCTGCCGCTGTCATGCTGTCATTCTCCTGGCTTGAGAAGGTCCCTGGGATTCCTTTGCAATCGTCCCTACTCTCCACTACCCTGGTTCATTTTAAGTCCTTTGCTAAGTTCCTGCCTTGCACTTTATTCCATTTTGCAGATCATACTAACCACCAGTCCCAGGCCAAGTTACTGGGCAGCCCCCACAGCCCACATAACCCTGCGGTTTGCTTGTTGCCTCATAGCCGCTACGTAACCATACTTCCTCCCTCACCCAGACCTAATTAGCTTCCTTAACAGTCCTTTGTGTGCAATTTGGTCAAAGGCTTTTCCAAAGTCCTTATAAAGCCTGGAGCTCTATTAGCCAGCTCCCCAATCTCGCTGTTTTACTGACACACTCAAACGGAAACACTCTAGTAGACTGGTGAGCCCTGGTTTTCTTTTTCAGGCACCAGGCTGGCTTGTCCTGGCAATGTTCAAAGTAAGGCTTCCCACTTCCAGTTTGGTTTTTTTTACATCTGGTTTTTCTCAACTGACCGCAGCAGATTCTCTTAGACCGGCCTCCTTCACTCAGCCTTTCTTACAGGACTGCACCTGCAGCAATATCTCAAGGAAGAGAAAAGTCTCCTTCACCTAAGCACCCTCAATCCTAAACCCCACAAGGGGCTTAGCAACTCCCCTCCAGTGCATGGATTGAATGCTTGAAAAAGCCAGCGCAGTGGAAGGAGAGAGAATCCAGCATTGCCCAGTCTACCTAAGAGTCACTAACATTACAGCCAGCTTGCATTTGTCATTCCAGGGTGGGGCATACGTTGTAAAACTACTGGAAGAGTTTGGCGCCGGATGCTCGATTCTAGCTGTAGTGTTGTTAGAAGCAATAGCAGTGTCATGGTTTTACGGTAAGGAAACTCCCTTTGGACACCTCTGTTATTAAGTGATGCCCCTGAACAGCCAAAGATCTTGACCCTTCAAATACTTGTGCATAGGCTTCTCTGTGCACAAGGCTTAATAGGACTTATTCTTGTAGCGATATAAGAAGTCTTGGCTAGGCTAGAGTAAAGGACAGTCTCTCGCGAGCATGGCAGTTGTGAGCTTTCTCCGTGAGTTCTCTGCAGGTGCTGACTCTCCCTTGCCGAGCAGTGACACGATGTCTGTGGTCCATTTTCTTCTGCACAGGAATTCAGCGGTTCTGTAACGACGTGAAGTCCATGCTGGGCTTCGCCCCAGGGATGTTCTGGCAGGTTTGCTGGGTGGCCATCAGCCCAGCCTTTTTAGCAGTGAGTATTGTTGTCCCAAGCTGGGGCTCAGCTTGCTAACTTTCCTTTAGACACCTAACCATGCATGTGCCGGCTGGAATGCTGACATAAGACCTGACAGATTCTGGGAGGACATCTATAGCACAATATGACCTATGTAGTAACAGCTGAGTTAGCCTCCATCCAGCTAATATAGAGAACACAGGCTGTGAAGATGCAGCAGCTATGGTGGATCAGCTCAGTGGATGCATTTGCACTTTAGCACAGGCTATCCAAACCCTCTGGCAACCCTATGAACTAAAGCCCTTGCCATCATGTCTCCACTGCTTTCAGTGCCTGTGTTAGCGACGTCAAAGCAAGCTTAGGTCTGCCTGCACCCACCACTCACCCTCCCTTGCTCCCCAGTTCAGTCACCCTTGGGTGTATAAGGAAGGAGGGCTGTTGTTTACGAAAAGTCACCTCCTTTGTTTTCTGTAACCAGAAATCAATAGGAAGTTTGCTAAGTAAAGTGGGAACATGACATTCTATCCATACACACTGAGACTATGCACTTGTCAAATAAAAAGGTTGCACAACACGTATTGATCTGCATGATCTATAGATCATGGGCCATAGCTCACAGTTGGCAGCTGCAATTCAGTTTGAGTCAATGAAGTGATGCCTGCTTACACCAGCAGTGATTTTGGCCCTGTCGTGTTCCTTCTATAAAACAAATCCATCTACTCTAAAGATTGCAATGTATCAGCTTTGCTGTGGTCCAGCTTGCCAGACAGGCTATTTTAAATGCAGCTCCAGTGCTGCACTGTGTACTGGATCCATCACCTTTGAAACGCCAGCCTTACACTGGACTTCAAAGAATGCCCATCTGTAAGAGAGAGAATGTATTAATATCACCTGCCTTCCAGGGGGGAGAGGGATTGTAAGGATGAATAGCTGTGTTAAGGACTTGAGAGCTTAGGTTTTAGGGGCAAAGTACTATAAGCAAGGCAGAAGGAAAATGAATGACTGAGTTACACCAGTGAGAAATAACCTCAAAGGGGCAATCTCTAAGAGGTCTTCCTCTGATGAAAACCTGACAGACAACCTAGATCAGAGCTAGTAAGGAATGCCTGTCTGGCAAATGTTGATTTAAACCCCATACTGGCCTTTAATAACTCAGCATGAGTTTGTAAGTTTGATGGGTACCAGTCTGAGAGTTTATGAGATGCTGTATGCCAATTTGCTGGCACCAGGGAATTAATCCCAGCTAAGAAGGCACAGATGTACGTGATCCTGGTATAATCATGAATGAGTATTACAAGGGAGAAAAAACATGGATGCTGTGTTGAATGGAATTTTAGTGCATCATCATATACAGTCACTTCTAAATTACCAAAAATGCTATTACCCCATGAACCAGGGTGGATCATGTGCTTTTCATTGGCCCTTGGAATGCAGGTCTTGCAATCATACACCTCTCACATAGCTCTCTTGCTCTGTTAACAGTTTATAATAGTCAGCTCTCTCCTGGACCAGCCACCACTCATGCTCTTTGACTACCAGTACCCAGAGTGGAGCATCTCAGTAGGGTACCTCATTGGAGCATCATCCTTCATCTGCATCCCTGTCTACATGGTCTACAAGCTGGTCTGGACACCTGGATCTCTCAAGCAGGTCAGGAAGAGCAGGATGTCATGTGATGTTATGCAATCCTGTGTAGTTCAGATATTGTAGGAGGCTGGGAGCCAGCATTCGGTGCAGCGCAATGGGAGAGGCTAGGCCAGCCTCACAAAGGAGTTCCTTATGCAAATACACTCTGCCACAACTGCAGAGTTACAGATCTAGGGGAAACAATAGCCCCCCTGCACAGCCCCCTGGTCTGACTGCCCCACATTCATGAGTCCAGGGTTTGGTCTAGTCACCTCCTCCCACCTGCTTGGCTTTCTCTTCTGTTTCTGGGGGTGGAATGACCTCCTCTTACCAACTGAGAATTCTGTTTTCAAAACAGCTGCTGACCCCTGTCTTGTCCCTGTGCTTCTAGCAGGTAATTCCCAGATGTCAGCCTCTCCTTCCCTTTCTCTCATATAAAAATGCTCCTGCCAGCTTCAGGAGAGAGTTCCCTTCAAAGACAAGAGCCCAACATGTAGCAAACCTATTGCTGCACTAGAGCAGAACCATTCGATGGTGGCCCTTGCTTCCATGTCATGGCCCCTGGACCTAGCTGTTCAGCTGGCTGCCAGGTTCCTGCTGTGAAATGAGGATCCAAAGCCAAGCAGGTAGTGACGTTACAACAGTGTGTGCAATGTGATATCATTACAAAGCAAAGTGGAATTTATCATCTGACCCTGAGGTCACAGACCTCATCTCCCCATCCACAAGACACCCCCTCCCAGTACCTGATTACGGCAGGGGCTACCTTGCTTGAAGAAAGGCACATCAGCAGTCACCTGAGGGTACGTGCCCCTCTGAGCTGCCATGCCCTCATTTCTTGGTTTCATTTGCACCAGACGCTGAGGCTTTCAGTGGTAGATGGTTGTGATGGGAAAGATAAATCACACAGCTCAGGTTGGACACTCACCACCAGAGCTGTAGAAGGTAACCCATTTCCTCCTCATCCCTGCTAGCGTCTGGCAGAGTGCATTCGGCCGGAGAAAACCATCCGAGACCAGCCGGCAGAGTCAGTCCGTATGTCACCTGTCCCCTAATTCTACAGCCCACAGAAGCGAGGTGAAGACTGCCAGTCGGCTCTGTGATTACCAACATAACAAACTACATGGACAGGGAGAACAGCTACCAACATGATTTGAATTGCTCTCCTGCGTCTCTCTAAAACCTGTGCACACTGGTCAAAGCCATCTCAAGACCTGAGGCACACAGCAGTGCCACTCTCTGCAGACTGTTTACCCATGCCATACCAACTGTACATGACCATGCATCTCAGTAAAAGCCTGTACTGTCAGTGTCCTAATCATATGCCTAAGCGTCCTGATCCAGGTCCCATTGAAGGCAGAGATGATCTCTGCATTGGCTGCAATGAGAGCAGGATCGGGATTCACCTGTGTCTGAGTTATCAATAAAATTGTAGTTTGACCAGAAGTCTCATTGTCATGGTGTGGACAGCCACAGTTACAGAGCAGACCGTGATCACACCCCCGTGCCTAAGGCATTGTACTGGCCACAACATGGCAGCTGCTTCCACACCTGACCCTCCTGCCTAAGTGCTAACTGACAGCATCAGGCAGATCTGTGGTTCAGGCTGGGAGACCCAAGAGAACCACAGACTTTGGAAGCACAATACCCCTCTTCCAGTCTCAGGCAGGCATTTTTTCTCCAACCGCACATATGTGCTTTCCACACAATGGAGCTGATTTCACTGCTACACCTGGATGCCTCTACAGCACTGATGGTCTATCCTGTGTTATATTCCAACCTAAATCCACTTCCAAATTGTCTTGCCTGTCCTCTTCGTTATCCAGGAGATCTCTTGTTTAGAGATAGGTTTGCCTTTCCCCTTCCTCTTCCTGCAGTGAAGTCACAAGGTGCTCTTTAGGCTGCTGCAATATCAGAGTATACCTTGACCCTCCCTGAGAGACATTTGTCTAGCCTGGTATATTCTGTTGTCCTGGCTGCCATTGGAGCATACACCTGGATATGATGGACTCCAAAGTAGGAACCTCTTCCTTCCACCAATGTAGGGAAGAAAGCAGCAGGGTGGGGAGGATCAAGGACTTGCATGCTTATATATTTTTTTTACAGTTTGAGCCAAACTCAACTGGCACAAAGAGCGCAGTAGGTTGCATGTGGGAAATACGCTGGTCAGAAAATGAGGGCAAGGGGTAACGGACTCTGACTTGCAGTGCAGTGCCAGCAGATTTGCAAAACCTGAGCAGCTCACGCCATGAGGGGCCCAGAAGCATGGTGGATCACAGGGATAATGACTCCCAGGATGGCCTAAGATGAAGGATGAGGTTGACAGTGATCTGTTTCCCTGGTGCATCTAACAAGGGTGATTCCACTGACTTGGGTGAACTTGCTCTGGATTTGTGCCATGACCACTGGAGAAGCTCCTCTCCCTTTTCTCAGACATGTGCAGACCTCCTTACATAGTGGCTCCCCTATCCGATCAGTCTGACAGAGAATGCCATGGGAGGTGCACCTGGGACTGCACTGGACCCATTGTTCTGATATCAAAGTTCCCTTTGAAAGAGAAAACAAAGCACAAGTTATGAGCAGAGCTCAATGAAGGGAAGCAAAATAGGCTTCCATCATTGCTTGCTTGTTTGAATTCAGAATAGGTCTAACTAACATGGGAGGAATTCCTTATTGCCAAGTCTGATTCTAAGCCAACTTCACAATCCTTCAGGTTTCAGAAGGGCACAGAGCTGCAAGTGCCTGCTACAAGAATAGGACTGTTCTGTTTGACATGACTACGTGTGAACAGGCTTTGCTGAGAAATGCCATCAGTCGGTCTTTGGTTCAAATGTACTGAACGCCAAGTGCAAAAACTGTTTATTCAAAATGTAAGTGACATGGAGAACAGATTAGATGGTGATTATTATGAGATAAGCCTAGTTATGGATCTGGGCTCTGACGTTTTCAAGGGAATTCAGAATACCTTGCTGGCCTTTTTTAAACGCTGTTAGAGATTGGAATAGCTTCTACGGTGGATCTAAATTTGTACTGATAACTGGCCAGTGCATGGGGTAGAGGCAGGTCCTCTCAATAAATGCCTGTAACTCAGCTTGCAGCATCTGTCCTGTCTTAGCACTTAACCATCACTCCGCTAAACTGAGTGCCCAGGAGGGAAATTCCATTTAAAGGTGATCCTCAAAACCATCACTCACTAAACTGTCCCAAACATGACGATGCTACATTGTGCCCCTCTAGTCATAGATCGCAAGTCACTAAAAGCTGCTATTGTTATCCCATTTTAGAGATGGGTACACAGAGGGGAAGTGACTTCTCCAGACAGCACAACAAGGGCAAACCCCAGACCTCGAAGTCCAGGCCTGGCATCCTGCTCCCTAGGCCAGGCTTCCCAAACAAGTAACAAAAAAGAACAGGTAGATATAAACCATAAACACATGTATATATGCAGGCAAAAAGCTGAAGCTCACTATTTCTTCTATTTACACACCCAGACTCAAATGTAGATGCCCCATTTTATCCCACAGCCCTGGCAACATCATAGTTATCTAAAATGCTCTCCCTGAAAGCTTGCTTAATAACTATTCTCCAACTATTTGGGTTGGTCTAATAAAAGATATCCAATTCACCCAAGGAACCTTGTCTCCCTGAACAGGGGCAGTGGAGATAGCATCTTGGATTTCAGTTTAGACACTCCAGTAAGACAGGAGTACTCCTCAGCTATTTTCTTTTTAAAAAGCAAATACTAAGGCAAACCATTGGTAACTCAGGGTGTTACAGGTGTCAGCACTGCCTGAAATGTGATAGTGACCCTATCTGCTCCAAAACCACAGGCTCCTACAACTGGTGTTGCTGGCAGCTCTCCAACAGTGGCTGGCAGTACAGGCCCTAGGATACACAGTTAAGCCCTTCTAAATCCAACCAGTCATGGGCAACAAAACACACACGCACCTCATGTCACTGCAACACACCTGTACTCATGGTCTGCACTAGTGTTCTGGGATCTCAGCAGTGCACCTTTATCATCATCTATTACCTTTTTCAGCCTTCATGAGTCCTTGTTGTCCCCATCAAACACCTTACAACTCCCAGGTTTCCTACTACAGCCAATGTACTGTCATTGATCCGTGTCTTTGGCATGTCTTTCGAACTCAGCGTGTTGTTATTCTGGATGTTTATAAATGAAACGTTGCTATTCAAAAAATATCATTTCATTTATAAATCTGCATGCAGCAAGCTTCTTTTTGCAGCTTTCACTCTACCCATTTCTGACAGGGCTGTGAAACCATTTTCTCATAAATGCCAATATTAGACTTAAGAATAAACTTCTGCAAATATAAATCACCCTAGAACTGCTATGAGTTATTCATATCTATTTTGCAAATAGTTCTTTATGACGGTTAATTTCCAGGCAGGTTTCCTTTACAAACAGACTTTGATCATCTTTGCTCGTGCTTTTCTGTAAACCCAGGGTAGACACGTGGAACGAGAGCAGACGGCTGTTTTAGAACAGCTTCTCTGCACAAACGCCGGGTACAGTTTGCTAATAAGACTGATGGTGATAAGGATCCTTTCTGAAAGACAACAAACAGAACATGCCTAAGACCGATGCCAAGAACAAGTGGAGGCTCGCTGCAAGGCTCGCTCTCTCAAGAGAACAGAAAACCTCACTTTCAAAGCGCTAGGAAGCATCAGAGAAAATCCAGATGGAGAGTGGTTGGGGGAAAAGGGCGTAATTGAGGAATCACTTGTAACAAACTCTCTAAGTTCACTGCAAATTTAACCTTTCTTGTACGTGTGCTATTCCCTTGGCCAAAAGGAGAGAATCCCTGATTGCGTCCTTCCGGACTACAAGCCCCGGCGTACACGGCTCCAGGCAGGCGGTAGGAGTGTGTCCCGCCGAAGCGTGCACCTCCAACCGCGGAGCACAGCGAGAAGCAGCCGAACACCCGGGGCTGCATTTGGGTGCGGTGCACGTGCTCCCTTGCAGCTCCGTGTCTACGTGGAGCCGGGCCAAGCCGCCCAGTGAATCTGGATTTACCCTCACGAACCTGCCATCAGACTCCGTATCAGACAGCACAAGCGATGCAGTGAAGCGTCCCAGATGAGGACAGGCAAAGGCACCGTCCTGCCGTCGTCCGGAGTGCATTTCACCGGCTTTATGTGCGAACGGCCCTTTTTTATACCAGAAAACACCGGGCGAGTTCAGTCTTACGCGGTCGGCGTCGGCTGCCTTGCGCGGTGCGTTGCGCACCAGAGATTTCATGGATGTTTAGGGTCGGAAAGGACCCCTGCCCTGAGCACCAAAACGCAGCTCCTCGCCCCGCACCCATGTCTGTAGCCCCCCGTTGCGGCTGCGTCTCCTGAGGTGAAGGAAGCCTTGTCCACCCTCTGTCCACACCGACTAAACACCCCCGGGCGTGCGGGCACTGCTGTCCAACACGCCCGCGGGGCGGGGGGGCACGGCGATGGTGGCCTGCCCGGGTGGAGAAGGGGGGGAATGATGTGCGAGGCAGCCTCGCTCCCCCGCAGCCATAGCCCAGTCACATGGGTGGCGCGCGGCCCTGGCTGCACAGCTCGGGGCGGGGGCGCCGCTCGCTGGGCTGGGCCGGGCCGGGGGCAGCACGTTCAGCCCAGGTGGAGCGGGGCGGCGCTGAGTGCTTGGGGCTGGGCCGGGCCGGGCCGGGCCGGGCCGGGGCCTGGGGGCCGCCGTGGGTGGGGGGGGATGAGTCACGACACGACCCGGGGCCGTGGGGCCTGCGCCGCGCTCGGGGCCTGGCCTGCGGTGGGGACACACGGGGCATGGGGATGCCGTGGGTGCAAGTGGAGGCAGCTGCTGCTGCACCGCAGACCCCAACATTCTCCACGCGGACACGGGCGACGACTGCTGCGCGACCACTCCACGTGGCAGCCTGGAGGTGCGCGTAGGGCCGGTCGCCACGTCAGGAAGGGGCAGGAGCAGCTGAAAACCGACTTGGTCAAGGTTCATCAAGGCCGGTTCGTAAACCGCACAGCCGTCGGACGCAGCGAAGCCTCCTGCGATGATCAGATGACAACCAGCAGCGAGAACAAGGGATCTTGTGCAGCACAAAGGAGCGCCCAGCGCTTGGTTCGCTTTGGCACATGCTTATCTGTCTTCGGGTGTTGTACGCCCGACACAAAAAAAGTTGGCGATACTAGCGGCCTTTTAGAGAGCAACCGTCTTATCAGGAAAATCGCTTCGAGTTCCTTTTGAAATGTTACTGCTAAGAAAGAGGCTGTTGATGAAGATAAAGAGGCATGTTCTCCGTGTGACCAATTAAGCTGTCTACTAGCTACAACCAGATTCTCACTTTTTTTCCCCCCCAGTCGATCTGAAAATGAGAGCAGAGGGCAGAGTACATATTGGCTCTGCCGTGGTCTTGCAACCTGAAAGACAACTGGGTTGATATCCTGTGGGGTTTTCCTTTGCTGTTGTATATGTGCCTCTCTCATGTATATAAGGGGGTGGGCAAACAGAGGGGAAGGGGGCAGACTTTCTACATCTGGGTGAACAAAAAGGTATTAATTAGTAATATAGTAGGTCAAAATTGGGCAGTTCAGCTGTCACAGTAGCCACACAAAAGGAATCAACCGGGTTGTCTAGCTCTAGTCCCAGTGTTTGTTGTTCAGCGCCTTTATCCCGGATCTGAAGGAAAGCGTGAGATCACAGCTGGTGAAGTTTTATGGGTGACACAAATTGGAGACCAGTAAACAATTACCAGGACAAATCTGTTCAACAAAGCAGTCTTGGTACCCTGGTAATCTGGGCTGAGCTAGATAAGGAGTGTGTTCATGCTGCTATATGCAGGGTCCTAGCTTGAGATACTAAAAATGTAGGCCCAGTTACAAGATAAGAAGCTGTCTTCTGGAAAGCAACAAGCCTAAAAAAAATCTTGACATTTTTCTTGAAAAATAAGAGATGTGCCCTTAGCTACCCCAGGGAAAGCAACAGTGAAGCAGTCAGGGCACCGAGCTGGGGAGGTGGAAGGGTCTGTTCTGCCCGATTCAGACCAGGGACCTGAACTTCAGCCTCCACCTCCCCATCATTACTGGACCATGTTGGGGTGGGTCTCACTCAGTCTTTCCTGTTGGGCCAGAGAGAGCGTGGGCGAGCCTCTTGTTTTGAGCAAAAATTCCCTGAGGTTATCGGTTTGGAACCTGTTGCGTTAATTAAGACAAGAACTGTAGAGCTTCTTTTTCCCGCTCAAAATTGATTCCTGTTTCCTGACATGTCACTTTTTCCTTCCTGCAGTGCTGATGGGGAGTATCTTCAGTATCCTGCTAATCACCATGATCCTGATGGCAGTGTGCGTCTACAAGCCCATTCGAAGACGGTAGCAGAGCACGAGCGGCTGTCACAGGAATACTGGATCAATCACATTGCATGTGGAAACTTTGGGATCAAAGCACTGGTACTTGTTACAACTGATGTGCTATATAGCTGCTGTAAAACCAACCTGACTTGTACCCCAAGCTCTGGCTTGTAAGCGCCTAAGTCACTTGTGAAAGTGGCTAAGGGTGTCTCTCTGTTCTAGCATAACCAGTTGTTCTTTTGCAGAAACACACCCGCAAAGCATAACCAGTTGTTCTTTTGCAGAAACACCCCCCCCACTGCCGTACTAGGGCAACTGCTCTTAAAGACACTACAATTAGGGTCTGGCAATCTCATCCCTCATTTTCAGGAGTTTGTACCCTGGACAGACCCAGATATTCAAACATGAATGCCTTAAGTTAGACAACAACTAAATGTGGCCATCAGCCTGGCAGCACTGCTGTAGATGTCTAACTGAGCACTTGTTTGGAAACATTAGCTGCAAACTGCACTTGGCATTTGTCCTAATCCTGACAGGAGAGGCTACTACTATATGAAGTCTTTTACTTTGCTAGTGTCCATAAGAAGGCTTTTCCACACAGATTTATTGCATTTTTGAGTTCTGCTCTTGGCTCCTGGGTGGGTTTACGATAGCAACAAACTTCATGGACACTAAACACAGCATCTGCGTGTTTCTAAAACAACATGCCACACTTTACAAAGGGTGGGTCACGTACCATTTCTGCCAGTTACTGATTAAACTCCACCATAAACCTGCCAAAGTCCATGATATCTAATCTCTCACACACCCAGTGCCCTAATAAAGTATCTTGGCAGGAGTGACATAAAATGGAAAGCTTGAGTTCTGACTTCTCTCCTAAACATCTTTATTTTGCAAGTAATTGCATGCATCAGATTGCATTTTCAGGTTTTACAGTTTTAAGGAATTCAGTTTTCTGCTCTAGCGTGGAGTACTGCTGGTTTCTAGCATTGTCTTATTCAAATCACTCAAGGCAAATATCCACCAGAACCAGAAACCTGGCTTTGTAAAGATGGCCATGTGCATATATCTGAACTAAAATACAGAAAGGTGAGACAAACAAGGCAAGGAAAACATAGTCGGTTTGCTAAGTACTTTTAGCTGCTTTTCTTCTGGAGCAATAGACTTGCACCAAAATACCAATGTCGTTTGTTTGTGTGGAGACCAGTCTAGCTTCTGACTTGGCCCGACCAAACACTTACCTTCTTGGCTATGCAGTAGGCTTGGGTTACTAGAAAGTAGTCCAGTGACAGTGGAAATTTCTAAGAACCAGAGATTTACAGGAAAGCCAGTCACATGTGAGAATCTGCTACATCTCTGTGGAAGCAATGCTGCTTTCAAATCCTTCCGGAAGTGTTGTTTTTAAGCTAGGGGCAGCTCTCAGTTGTATGCATTGTCTGTAATGAATTTAAGTGTTTACAGTTGCATATACATGCTGCTATTTTATTTTGCACTGTTATAAATATTAATTGGATTTTGCTTTGGCATATTATATTTAATGAAAGATTTTTTAATTTATTTACCATTCCAAATTTCACTTTTGGACTAACCATATGTCGGTTTGTATTAGTCTTAAACCTTCTGTTGTGTCTTACTTGATGTCTGCTGGTTTAGTTTCATTGAAGAGCACTGATACTTGTTGGAAACAGTGATGATTCCTGGGTGCTTACCTGTTTTGTAATGATGGATAGTGTTTGTACACAGCCAATTGCTATGATGCCCAGTCTGAGTAAAACATGAGTAAAAGTGCAAGCAAAGTTCTTATTCTCTCTCTTCCATTTTTGTTCCCCTACCCCCGACACTCACAGCAGGGTATTCCATTGCTGGCGGTCTCAGTCTGCCTTCATCTCGCTGAATATTACACATCCTCCTTTGTTAGTATGGTATTGATGGAAAGCACACTTGTAGCTACAGTTCTACTGAGTCATAGCTCACCTTCATTCTCCACTCCCTGCAAGATCTTTTTGTACAAATAAAAAGCTAACCAAATAATCCCATACTCAGTCATTTGTGAATGCATGTGCTGCACATGCTACTAGACCGCTATAACAATCAGTACCTCAGCCGCTAACCAGTAGCTTCCCTCACGTCAGCGGGACTACAGAAATGGGTAAGAACCGGTAGAGATCCTAGGCCTTGCTGTAAAGCAAAATGTTTGCAAAGTACATGTTGTGGTGTTTGATTCATGGGTAGCACCCAGCTAATAACAGGTTACAAGTAAAAGTTGGAACATTGCACCACTTCACTCACCCATGGACAGATATCAGCTCTCTCTCTGGCTTAAGTTTCAAAGAGTCCTTCAGCTATTTTGAATGCATACCTTTATAATTTAGGAAACACTTTGCTTGCAGGTTTCTTTGAGACCAAGGGCAGTAGCTGGCTCACAGCTCTCCATTGCAGGAAATAAAGAACCACTTTAGCCACTTAAGCACAGCAAGCATTTAGGAAAAAAATTAATCACTTGAGCTGAATATCCAAGAAGGCAGCAGTCTATTACCAATGTGATAGCAGCTTTTGTAATAGGCACACTTAATTTTTATAATTCATTAAAGGTAGCCTTGGCTGACATTGGTGTAAGGATGCCGAATAGTTTTGCATTCCACCTTCCTGAAGAAGTAGCCTACTGAAAAGCTACCAGAACAAACAAAATAATGGTCCTACTGAAGGCGGCACATAGACCTGCCATGGAAGTCAACGGTACTATGCACCTTGGTTCCAAGTATTACAGCTGGTCCTAAATTTCGTTTTTATTCCTACTGCTATTGTACTGCAGTAACCAAAAGTCAAGAGTTAGCAATTTGGATTCAGAAAAGTTTGCTTAGCTCTAAAATTATAGACTAGTCCCTGTTCTGCATCTCAGTACTTTAATGAAGAAACTGCACTGCTTCCTCGTTAACTTTTGGATCGCTGCTTCCAATAAAAAAAAGTCCAAATTAAGCTGTGGACAAATTAAATTGCAAGTGTGCACAAGTGCTTGAAACCATTTATCCTAACCCTCATCTCCCTTTTAGAAACTTGTAGGCCTACTGTGCAGATCACGTGGAGACTCAATAGGATTAATTTGTAATAGTTAATTTGCACTGTACTGCAATTCATAAAAGCTGATTACAGCTTTCATGTTATACTACTTTAGAAAAAGTATCAGGTATTCTACATCATTTCCATGAAAGAAAGAACCTTACAAAAACCTGGCTTTAGAAAGAAGGATGTTGGCCTTTCATAAAAAGCTTGTTGTAAATATCAAATATGCTACCCTATTCTTTTCTGTTTCTATTCCTATCTCCTTGACACATGCATGAGTATAGATAAGTCATGTCATCAAAAGCGCTGTAGTTCTAATAGTCTAAAATGCCTCATTTGCTTTGAAAATATTTATTGTGCCAATCTCCAAAACATTTCAAAACATAAGATTCAAAATTGAACATAAATGTCAGAAAATGTCTACATGGATTATGTGTCCATTTAAAACGTTTTGATTAGCTGAGATCAATACTACATATTTGATAACTTTATACATGATAATGTCATATTTAAGCCCCCCCCCCAAAATCAAACGGGGATAAGCGCATACCTATTAACAAATTTCAGATGTCAGCTATTGTGCTTCAAGGTAGGAGTTACAGAATTATTCATGTGTACAGTGCAAGACTGTTTGCAACAGAAAACAATTCAAAGGAACATAAAAGGTATTGAGCTCCAAATCAAAGTCTGTGAATGGGCTAGGCCTCTGGTAATCAGGAAGCTTTTGATAAAGCCAAAGAGAATAAGACTTGGGCGTTGATTTAAGAGGAGTATTTTGAGAGAGCAGGGCATTCTGCTTCTAGAAAATGAGGAGCTGCCACGAGCACAAATTAAAAGTTTTCACATTAGTAACTGCACAAAAACTCTGAAGCTCATATAGTGAATTCTAAGAGGTTATGCAGATGTTAAACAGCTGCTGGGTTATTAATAAGCATTCAAGAAAGAAAAATGAACAAGCCAACAAAATAAAAAATAGCTCTGGACATTTTCCTGAGAGGCAGAGGCAGGATCAGTTGAGCTGGCATTCCATTTGCCTTTCCTGTGAGACCATGCACTCTCTCTCTGGACTTGCTGGTTTCACTCACTGCCAACATGCAGATATACGAGGCAGGGCTTCTGCAGACAGCCACCACTTCCACAAGACACAGCTGTTCCATTCCCTACGTGCCGTTATCCTGGATTATTAACTGAAGCAAAGGTCTCATGTAAAAATATGTGATCATGTAATTAAGGATTTCATCCCTAGAAGTATACTTTAAAAGCCAAAGTAAGATTATATAGTACATCTTATACCAACCCCGCCAAAATGCATAAGCTTTTTAAAAGCAAACAAAAAACCATTCCATTATGGAACTATACGGAAGGAGAGGAGCAGACCCAGTTTCCACAGGCAGGGAACAGGCCACAGAGTCAATCCGGGGCTCCTGGGCTCTTGCTGCTCCATCCTCCTGTTAGAACAGCGTTGGCTGGGTCTTCCCACCACCCCCACTCAAAAGGCCCCCTTCCTCTCGGGGGCCGAGGGGAGAACTCTGCTTCAACAACAACTCTGCCTGCCCGTTCTTCACTTCAGAAACAGAGAATCTTGTTTTCCCTATAACTACCAAAGCGCTTATCAGAAATAACCCATTAGAAAACCAGACAAATGCTTTCAAAGAGAGTAGTGCTTTTATTTCCGTGTAAGGAGGTGGAAAATTTATCTGATACTTCGTGACTTGTCAAAAATACAAACACAAGGCTTAGTCCCTTTTATGCAGCTGTGAATGGCACAGTAATTCTCTTCCAAAAGAGGAACAATCATTCCAATGTATATTGCTGCCTATGGTTAAGTAAATGACTTACAGTGTAACTGCCAATACCAAATATGCTATTTAGGGATGAAATTAGTTTTACAAATTGAAAGCTGCGTAGTTGGAAACAACATAGTGCTGATTATATGGGTCCTAGTATACATAGGAGGAACTGTAGTAAGACTGTTACCTGAAATGATGATTAGGAAGGTTAAAACAGAGTCTGAAGTTACCAACTAACTCTTACCACTGACTGTCATGTCTGTTCTATTGCGAGTTACACTGGATAATAGTCTGTCACACAGAACCTGATCCAGCTGCCTTGTTTTGTCTGAGTAACAAGTACAGAATCAGATCACACATACCCTAGGCTCTCTGCACTTCTGCCTGCCAGAAGTAGCAAATATTGCTCAGTAATATGTTTGATTACACTAAGACATTAAGGGTGTTCAGTATGTATTGATGGCATGTGTTTGACAGTCACAGCACAAATGCTGTGTACATTGAGCAAAGTGCAAACAAAATAGCTAAAAATATACAATATGAATAAAGTCCTGAGAAAAGTTGGCTAAAATATACTCCTGTATTATTGTTGATACCATTTTTATGAGTAACTGTACTGGCTTGTCTTAAAATCAATAAAAAGATTTAGTTAAAAAAATATATGTATTCACATGAAGGATGTACATTTGAATTTAAAAAAGCAACATGCATTTCCCTTTCAGATGACAAAGAACTATTAACTTCCTTACTAATAGGTGTACATCAAAATTTCACCTCATTTCTTGCCATATGAATTCAGCCTGCACAAACTAAAAAAAATGGATCTTTAAAAAGCACCTATTTCTATTATGTATTCTCCTGCTGCCCTCTTTGATTGTGTGAACTAGCTGGTCTTGAATCACGAGAGAGAAACTGCTACTATGACAGATGGTCCCATTTTACCATATAAAATTTCTATTAGCTACCTGTTTTGCCTGTGGCAAGAAAGCCTTGGCTTAATCTTGAATGAGTCCCTTTAGCTTGGATTAACTCTTTCAAGTTTAAATATCATCCCTATTAATAAAGCATGGCTGCATGTTAAATTGTCAGTGGCTGAAGAAAAGAGATTTCTCTAGGCCATGTGTATCCAAACCTAATGGAAAACACCTGTCAGTATGAAAGTGTACTGCTCACATTCTCCTCCCTATGGGAACTGGAAGAGACAAACAGCAAATGGCTTTGAGTTACTCAGAAGAGACTATGTAAATTAATATTTCTTTGGTAGGTGATGAGGAAATCATCCTTCTGATCTCCCCACACAGCGAGTTGTGAAACTCTGCTGCACTTCTACATCCCAATCCCAGACCAAGTCTCCAGCTGTTCTTGGATAAATATATTTAAGTGCAACTCTTCTCTTTCAAGAAATGTCAAGACAGTGTCATCTGGGAGCCACATGCAGATCCCCAAGTTCTCCAGCTGCTTTCACCTTGAATCATGGAGGCTGCAGCCTAAAGAAACTATAGATCTTCATGCATGATGCTCTGGGGACTTGGATCAAGATGGAGAACTGCATGCAGAGATTGGAAGCCTTTCTGAGCCACATTGCTATCCTAAAGACATGACAAAGGTGGTGAGAATGTCCTTGACCGATGCCACCCATGAGTGACCCTCCGGCTCCAATCTGCTGTGGCTGTCAGTTTGGCCATCCCTATTTCTGAAGATCCTACTTTTCCAGGAGAGAACGCTGCAAAGCTTGTTGAAGCTCTGCATCTTCCTCCTCATGGCGCCGTTTCTCCCGCTCCTCCTGTTCTCTGACAGACAACTCCATGGCAAGCTGCAAGTCTTTGTCAAAACTGGAAGGCACGACAGGGGTGCTGGAGTGTGGATTACTTGTCAGATAGCTCTCCTGCAGTGCCCTGGCGAGAGAAAAAGTTCCAAGAGATATATATCCCACTTTTACTTCATTTTTTTCCTAGAATGGAGTCTTTCCTTGCATTCTCTCCAAGAGACTTAACAGCAAAATAGGCTCCTTTTACTGAAGGAAAAGGAAGCAATTGCTAGGACAATGACAGAAAGGAGCATGTTCTAGGAGTCATGAAGTTTCCAATCCAAAATCCATTTCTCTCTGAAAGTGCCACACGGTAATGGCTCAGTTTTCAGCAGGCCTCTTAAAGCACACACACCTCATTTATAAGCAGAACCATCTGCCAGTACACAATAGGCAGGAAGATAACATTTTTAAGGCATGCACAAAATATTTCTTTGTGCTTGCAAGAGGAAGAAACCGCATATACCACAGCCTGTTTTCAGAGGGTCAATAGAAATTTGCTCCTCTGTTTATACAGGACACATAACTTGTATTAAGAAAGAAACAAAACATTTTCTTTAAGTGTCAAATAGTCAGTAGAGCAGAATCAAAATGTCCTGTTAAAGGTACTGCATTAGCAGCTGTTGCAAGGAAAGTAAAGAACCTTGAACGGTCTTTAAAAAGTAAAGAAACTTTGCTTTTAAAAGTGATCATGGTTTGAGCAAAGAAAAACTCCAGTCCTAGCACTGAGCTACCAAAGCCAAATTCTGTTATACAGGGAAACTTTGCTCTATGTTCTTGCATCACAAAGCAGGTATCTGGGCATCTAGTCTTGCAGCCTCAAGTGCTCAGGCTTTCTGATATTTACATACAGAAGTGTAGTATTCCTTTGCACTGCTTTCCACACTGACCCATGATTTGGCATGACAAGCTTAAACATTTTAGATAAATTAAATTAAGTTACCTCTGATACTGTATATTAAATTCCGGTGAATAAGCAACTGCTCCATTGGAGTGCGTTCCCAAAGCTTCCTAGAGGAAAAGATACCACCATGATTAACTGATCTGCTAGAAATTCATATATGAATTACATAAGTCACATATGACTTTTATTGATGCTTACTGTGACCCATTTCGGAAGTTTCAAAAGAACCTTCAAGGAGGATAAACACTCTCAAACGCCTTTCCCACAATTTTTTGCAAAGATTCTCACAGGAGATATATATACACACACACGCACCTTGGTACAGATTTAGAGATGAATCCTCCTACACGCAGTTCACGTCCAAATATTTAAGATACTGCTTTGCCACACAATACAAAGGTGAACTGAGATGCTGTCTTTGAGTTGGCATATGATTTGTTGGGTGAACAGGCCACCATGTAACTTTTTATAAGTCAAACCCAGGCCTGATGTTATACTTTATCTGATGAAAGAACAGACACTGAAAAGCTGGCTGCTCAGACTTACTTTATTTGCAGTAGACTCGAACAAACTCTGCTGAATGGCGAACTGCATTATCTCATTATCTTCATCTTGCACATGCATGTTTCTACCATCATCTTGAACATGGTAAGATTTGGGGATCTCAAACACAGACTGGTCAACCTCAAAATTAGAGCCTGTACAAACCAGAAACATACATAGAGTATGCACACTTACTGCTTGTTAACCCAAAAGTCAGTTATCAAAGTCCATCTGCATTTAATTTAATACATGAAAACCAACCCTCAAAAAGCTAAGACAAACCACCCATAAAGTATGTCAGAATGGGGAACTACAAGTACTTTGCTGTCACCAGGTAGGGGAAAAACAGATTAACACTGATGTCAGAACGTTTTACAACCAGTAAAGCCAATATGTGGCACCAAAGAACTAAGCAGGCTGAACTGGATTTTGACAAGTTGGGAAGGAGTGGGGGAGAGAGCAAAGCAAGCCCACAAAAAATAAGCAGCAATGAAGTGCAGCAAGCCACTTGCCAAGTCGCCCACTGACTACATATACAAAACAGCTTATGACATGCCCACAGAACAACTCAGCATTCATATCCAGTGCTCCCCATTACCAATCCTGACAGTGCCTTAACACTACTTCACACAAACAGGTTCCACATTAGCAAGAGAGGCAACAGCACTTGATTCCAAATCCAAAGGATTTACACTTAACAGAACAATCTAGAAAACATGCCAGGGCCAAAGTTCAGGCATCTCAGTAGGGCGTTGAGTGACAAACAGGGTTAATCAGTTTAGCAAACACATTCCAGATACGTAGGGATACTCGTGCATTACGCTTTCCAGATTGGTACAGACTGAACTACAATTTACTGTAGATTGAGCTTTAGTTCCATCCAGGTAACAGGTCTGCTTTACCCCACCCCATTATTTATAGCAAGTGCACAAAAGAAGCCATTGTGTATACCCACCACACTTTTACACTCCTTACCCAGATCACCTCCGGCAGCTTGCGATGAAGTTTTGTCAGCTGTCCTGCAACCATTGACATTTTCAAACGTAATTCGAGCATTCAGCACATGGAATAAGGGAATTTCTGTAAGAAGTACAAACTTTCTGTGAGAACATGTGGGGTCTGCTGCATCTGATTTACAGCAGTATCAGCCATTTTTACACATTTAGCAGATACATTCCACAGACAACGAACTGCACATCAGTCCATGAGAAAGTCAAGTTAACTGGAGGCAGTCTCTCTCACACACTTAGTCTTGCACAAATGCAATTCCTGGACATTCACTATATTTCTATGGAAGTTGGATAAAGTCTCTCCAATGTACCAGTTGCTGTTCATACTGCACTCTTGACAGGGACATGCCTTCACATCATTTGGAAACTGCAGCTAAAGCAAAATGCAGCAGTCTCTTTAATAAGCAACATGTCCATGAAGAGAGCACCTGGTATTCTGCATCATGCCCTGCAATGGATATTTGAATGAAGTTTACAATTGTGTTTGACTTATGAAGCCGCAGCAGCTTAGGTCCTAAATCTCAGACTGCCTCCTAAGATTTTACAACATTTACAATATTTTACAACATACTGAAAGCACTTGGGCTAGTAAGAGGCTAACAACTGCTAACTCTTAGTGGTTTGTCTTTGCCTTTGGAATTCACTTCCCTGTGTAAACTTTCAAAGTGTGGATTTAACGATGATAACGTCAATATACAGTTCTCTGAACCGGTTAGCCTGCCATAGCTTCATAGCCTGCCATTATGGTTAACCCTGCCATAGCTTCAGCCTGATTTCACACTAACCCAGCTAACTAGCTCACTCTACACTATCAGCATACATGGTAGGCTTGGCTATATTCCCAGATTTGCCTATGAAGAGATTGGTCAGATGACAGGTGGCATTTTCAGGTGTCAAGTTCTGTCCAGTTTTTAAGTGTTGTGTTGTGTGATTGTCAATGGTAATACATGGGAAAAGGCTGCTGAGCAGTACCAATTTTGACAGGAAATCCAGGTGGGAACTCCAAAGTGATGAAGTCTTTCAGTCTAGCAAAATGAGCACTAGTTCTGGCCATCAGATCAATGATTGGAGTGACCTGCTCCACAAGAGAAAGGGGGAACTCCTCACTCATCCACAACGTGGCTTTAAACCTGCAACAGAGTCGCACAGGAAGGCTTCAAGAAGGTTGGAACTTTTTTAACACAGCACAGCAAAATACCTAGCATTATCTGACAATACTTCTAGCATCTCGGAATGGATTACAAGGCTTTAGCACTAAATGGGTCTCAAGGCTGGCACTATTAATTTGTATTACGGGTGGCATTTTCAAGACATGTACAGTGTTAGCCCAACTCTGCTTCTACTGGCTTCGTGAATTAGGACAACTGAGCATATTTTAAAATGCCACCCTTAATTTATTCCCCACTTGAAGAAAAAAGGGGGAGTTTACATGAAACAGTAAGCATTTAAGACAAGATTATTTCTCACTTTTGTGTTCTAATGGTGACTTCCTTAGGTCTTCCTATGTCTCTGTCTTTCAGCTCAAATTCTGGATCAAAGTATTCCTCCAGAGTAATAGCAGTTGGGTTGTTTATTGTGGCATACTCGGTGGTGAGATCCTGTAAGAATCAACCACCACAAACCTGGTAACTATTACAAAAAGCATGAGCCTACATCTCTGATTCTAGAGCAGTAACTGGCAGCTGTGTAACACAGCTCTCTCTCCATTTAAATCAGTAACGACATGTGTACTCACAAAAACAGGACAGATTAAAAAAAGCTCCAGATGAACATGCACGTTCATCCAAAGTATAGATCTCAAAAAGTTTTACAGACAGGAGAGTCTGCTTCCAAATACATACTTTAACTCATACATTATGAAGATGTAATACTGAAAGCTAAAAACTACCCAGTCTTATACGCATGTGCTAATGCTACCCACACACACCATCATTCATTGATGACACCAATCTGGTGAGAGTACTTAAATCAATAAGAGATACACATGCCTTATATAAGAGAGTCAGGAAACAGAGCCATCCATTGGTAAGCCTAGTCCCTATTCACCTTATGCCTATACAGATATTAGAGCATCTTTGTTAAGCATGATCACCAATATTAACACTACATACCCTGCAGAACCCCAGGACACTTCTCTCCTCTCAACACCCCCAAGAGTCAGTGTGCGGCTGTTAAAGCATTTCTGCCCCCAAAGCCATTTTTTCTGTTGTCTCTTACAGCAACAGGTGGGGCTCAAGGTACATCTACAGGCTGGCGTTTGAACTAGTTAAGTTTCTGGACATGAAGGAAGAGGAAGCTTTTCCATAAGGTGCACACAACTCCCAGTAAGTCAGTTACTCAACACTGCAGGGATCTTCTTTGAAATCAATGGAAAGAGAAGCACTTTGCTCACCTGAGCCCCATACTCATGCTCCACTGTACCCAGGAAGGATTCCAGAGGGCTCCTGTCAGCTTAAGGAGAAAGAGGGGGAAAAAAAACAAACAGGCTTATTAAAAATGGCACGTCACAGTAGTGCACAAGCACACACAAGACTGCAGGGCCAGGGAGGCCTTAGTTCCACAGGCAGAAGATGGTCTTGTTTGTAGTGCTCAATCAAAGGGCATCATCTTCAAGGCCAGACAAGCTTCCTCTAAGCACTTTACTAGATAAACCCAAGAGTTAGTGGAGGAGGAACACGAGGAATACAAGAGAAGAGCAGGAGAAGAGAAGAATATCCAAAATCACTAACAGGAGCCTGTATGACAACAAAATGTTACGCCTCGTTTCCAGGCATCTATAAAGACTGTGCTGAGCGAAAAGCAACAGGCATTTCCTATGCAAGGTTACAAGCTGGCTTCTCTGCACCCTCCACTGTGATCTGTGTAGGCACTCAAGAGTTAAAACAAAACCAGACTGGGCATCTTGCAACTTTAGCCAGTGTAAAGGGAAACCAGCATGAAGTAAAGGTCTGACCAGGCTGTCAGGGCAGGCAATAAGCAGGACAGATAATGAATGTGCAAATAGGGTTCCACCTTCTGGAGTTCAGACAAAAAACTGAACCAAGTTTTCCAGACACTTGCTCCCATCAAATGGAATCAAGACTATGACAATAATCCTTATTTACATCTGGATTTACTTCAGAACCAGGTAAGAACTCTACCCTCCCCCAGGAGCCCACAGCATGTATTATTTGGCAGGGGAGGCTCAAATGCGAGCAAGATGCTTTCATTAGCCAGGCTGATTACTCCACATGCCACCCAGTGCACAAAAGCAGCACAAGGTTCTGTTCAGTTTCAAGCCACCGCTGGGAAAATTACCTTTATATCTTTTCTTTTCCTCTTCCGTCAAATGCTCTGTTCGGATCCGTGTTACTACATTCACATTGTTTGCTGTATAGACCTTTTCATAAAAGAAAAGGAAAAAATATGTATAAAAGAGACCAAGAATAAAAGTAGGACATCTTTAAAGAAGCCCAAACACCAAGGACAAAACCTAAAAGAAACTGGGGGGAGAAGCAAGAATCTGCCCACCTTCACCATATCAGAGACCAGGGGGAAAATGTCCAATGTGACTATTTAACTGATTCTTTTTCAGCTCTGAAGTGCAGGAAGTATTATGCGTCATGAATCCTGACAACAGTCCTGTGCTAAAACTGAATGAGACAGCCATCTGCTGGGCAGGCTGCTAGACTTACAAGAGACTATCTGGAATCACATGATAAAGAAACTAGTTGGCTCCAGACATTTCAGAACAATCCTACACCACCAGCAGTCAAAGAAGTTTCCCCACTGATTTCAGCTGGAATGGGACTGAGCCCTCTGCAATACTGGAGAGGCCTTAGCTCCTTGTAAAGGGATTTCATGTTTATTTTGACTGACAAGTGGGCAGCTGCCTCGGCCTTACTGATGAACCGCCCATGCCAGGGCTGCTTTGGAGGAAGGCAGGCTACGGAAGGTGCCTCAGGCAGAGCCACAAAGAATTTGAGATCCTCCACTTAGTGGTTCTGCAGGGCTAATAACAGTAAAACCTAGGTTTGAATCAAAGCAAAGCAGGCTCACTCAGTAAGATGGTGTCATTTGTGTAGGTCTTTGGTCATGCCAGACATTCAATGCAAGTTTGGTTTCACACAGGTCAGTTGAACAGTTGGACAAACCATTATATTACAAGACAAACAAACCACCCCTCTATCATGTTAGAAGAGAAGCAGGGGTGCAGAACCAAGCACTTGGAAGTTAGGAAACAAGAGAATTAAGGTTGCCTCTGGGTCTTACATTTGTTTTCTCGTGCATATGCATCATGGTACGTCCTTCTTATATGATCACATATAATCCCCCTCTTTGCACAGGACCCCACTTCAGTCAGCGCATAGGCTGGAGGGTGCTCATCATATGTATCCCATGCCTGTTTTTATCTTCATCTTTCAGTATGTGACCTCCTTCCATGATTCATTGAGCATCGTTCCTACTTGACACTAAACAGAGCTGTCTTAAAGATCAGTGGTGCTCTCACTGTAGTGCCCAATTTGTTTACAAACACCGGAGAAGTTCCCTTCCCATGCCTTGATGAGAAGGGCCTGTGTGGGTGTTATCGTTATGTCTATTCACATGGGCAAATAAACCAGAGATTAAAGTAAAACACCTTGACTGATTGCGTGTGTCCAATTTGGAAAAAACAAAACATAAGCTTCTCAACGTTTTTAGCAATTTACATATCCAGAGTACAGCTGATCATGTAATTAGAAAGTATGTCTTAATGTACATGCACAAAATGGTGAATTAAGGTCACGGAGGACCTGGTATTTCTAACTTCTGAGAAACTAAAATCAGAGCGGGGGGAATTCCATCATATGGAAGCATGCTAACCTCCCCCCCATATGGCTCATAGGAAAGACAAACTCTAGATCCGTGCCGGTCTTAATCTATTAGAGCTACTGAAGGAACTTGTAACAGCAAAAGGCTAGCGATGACATTTTGCTAAATCGGTTCTACTGCTTTCTGACACTGTGAGAATGCTGAGACTAAAGTAATAGCTGAGCTCCGCATTCTGGAGGGAAACACATTCTTGTGATCAGAGCCATTTGCCCCCCCCCCCGGTCTCCTTTTGGCACTATCCCCACCTCCCAGCACTTGCTTCAATCCCCAACCACAGGCAAAGCTCCTGGGTATTTGGCATCCCATCTGAAATGTCTCACACCGTATCAGTTTGTGTGGCAAATCAAGAAGGTTGTGGACATTAAAGGAAGATTTTAACGCTAAGATACTCAGGGAATATTGAACAATCACATTCGCACTCCAATTAGCTTTAGATCTCTTAGTTGTAAAGAATTGATTCTTACCTTTGCTTCATAACCATTTACACCTTCTGCTTTCTCTGTCCTCCATACCCAGAATCCAGATGTAGTTCTGATAAAAAGTGAACGCCACAAGTATCTATATACAACTTGCCATATCTATTTATCCTCCAACCCATGTTTTCTCTAATGATGTTTCAGCCAAACAGTGTTTGCAAGATACCAGACAAAGCCCCAGAAAACAGGTACAACAAACACAAACATCTTTCTCCAATCTAAGGCTGAAAAATGAGTCTGAGTCCATTTCTGTTCTTATTCATATCTCCATGGAAGTGCAAAGGCTAATATTTAGCAGGCTGATTGTAACAGGAAAGCTTGAGCCACAAGGAATTGGAGTTTCTGGATAGCATCACATCCTCTCCTGAGCCACTGAACAACTGTCAGAGTCAATGCTAGCTTAATTTTATCTGGCAACTTGCAGCTGGAAACTGGGAAGCCAGGCTGATTGCTGTCAGTAAGCTTTAGGGTGGTTTTCACAAACAATGTAAATGTTGGCATGTCTAAAATTCACTGGCTTTTAGCAGGATTTAGGATTTGGAGGCTTTTTTGTTTTAATTTTATTCCCCAAGTAGCACTCAAGGAAGAAAATCTTCACCCATCCAATAGAATGAATTAATGAGCTTTGACAGCTGATCTTTCACACTGGCTGTAATTCTGCACCATGTTTTAATAAATACTTTTGCTTTGCAGTTAATCAATGTTCCCACAGCAATACTTAAGTGTATTGTCATACCCCATAACACTCCAAAAAGGTGCAGCACTGAAGTAGCTCTTGTGCTTCTACTATCAAACTAGTATCTTCTCTATCAGTATTAGTACAGTTATTACTATCATTTACATAGGACTAAGCTAAAAATCAATCAAGCTCAAAGTCAAAACTGAAGCTGTAAACCTTATTATTGGATCCTCAACGTCAGCCCACAGACTGTGAACTAGCGTCAGCACTGCACATATGGTTCATTCTTGCTGTGTTGGCAATTAAGTGTATATTTCTGAAACCAGAAGATATTAAAACTGGCCCCATTAATATAGAAATGCAAGTGTTACAGTGCAAAAGGACTCTTCACCAAATGGAAACTGTTTGCAAGGCCAGAAGTAAATGTTATGATTTTCAGCTCATTCTCTACAGAATGGAATATGCAGTTTAGGGTATTATTCTAGGTTACTTCCAAGATAATCTATTACAAGATTATTTTTTAAAGTTATACTGCAAGCATAATCCTGCATAGGTGGAGGATTTGTTCATTAAGAAAAGCTTAAATATCTTACCTTTCAAAAGCAATGTTTTTTGTATCAAGGCAAGTATTAATAATAGGAGATGTAAGGCGTCTTTCCACATCCTTCCTTTTTGGAGTCATAGAGCCCAATGTCAAACGCTTCATTTGTTGGGAGATTTCAAAACGCTCTGTTGTGACAACCTTATCATCATGGTTTATCTCAATTAGCTCTGCCCAGCCTCCAGTATCTGTTGAAAGAATAGATATAATTGACTAGATTTTACAAACTTTCAGTAAAGAGGTGTCCAGGACACACACAAGGGATGACAGTGAGGACAAAGGAAACTGTCAGGTTTGCATTTGTCTGGGACAAGTGATAGATTTGTTTAAGTACCACTATGATCTTAGTAAGGATGGATGAGCAGATTATGTAGGTGGCCAAGTCATTTTTAAGAGTAATTTGAAAAGTAGAATTAAAAGACCCTAATACATTTGGGAAATATATATATCTATAATGTAGCTGAATGCTTATTTCTGTGGTTCTAAAGTTAAGTTTTAATCTGATTTCCTATATTTGCTCCAGAAGAATTTGTGAAGGAAAATTCAGCCCTTCTGTTCTGCTTAGAAACTTGAAATGCCAGATGGAGCACTTCTCAGCATGAAGAAGTCTGTGAAAGATGTGAAAATAAAGCTAAGCATTATAACATGTACTCTGAAAAATATTGTAGGCCTCATGCTGTCTGACAGTCAATAAATGAGACAGGCTAAAAATACTCACCTTCTCCCTTGAAAATTAAACTACGTTTTCCTCGTTCCCAACTCATATTTTCAAAGCCTAATAACGTGATATCAACTCGAAGCTTGGCACCACTTTTCCAGATGCGGCAGATATCACTTGGACATACTCTGGAAACCAGTGGGACTATAAAGAAAAAGACAGAGATTCAAATATAAAAATCCTTAGCAGAAAAGAAAGGAGTAGGAGGATCAAACTCAAACCAGAAGTTCTAGTCTTGATCCAGGAATTCCTTAAAGAAATTTTATGGCCTGCATTACACAAGAGGTCAAAGTAGATCATCAAAATGATCCCTTTTGGTCCCAAGAGCTATGAACCTCTGCCTTTCTTGGTTTAGTTTGTTTTTTGATACCTAAACAAAGAACAGAGGAACTATCAGAATTGATTCCCCACTTATGGTGAACATGGCAAGACATGAGACACTAAATAAAATAATTAATTGTAGCTATTTTTTTGTCCTCTGTCCAGCAATGGTGAATACTCAGTGGTTGGGAAGAAAGAGAAGTCACCCATAATGCACATAATCAGTTTTGCAACGGGAAGGAATAAACTGCTTCCTAAATTGGTTGGCACCACCACATAATTTTTGCCTCATCACCTTATGTATGACAAAGCACTGGGACAGCTAAATCCTTAGAAAAGCTTCAGCAACCACCAACATAAGTGCCATAGGGTTCAATTAAAAAAAAGGCATTAACAAAGATCTAACAGTTTATATAGCAGGAAAAATAGGCTGGAAATCTTTCATGCTTAACAAACTTTGAGAGAAAGGATGAAAGTAAAGGTTCTACATACATATTTTCTTTGCAAACCTACTTTTTTACTTCAACAAGTCTGAAACTGGCATGCATTTCTACTGGTTACAAGAGGTAAGAGAGGTTGTAGAAGACACTTACCCCAACTAGTGAATTCCCATTTCATTTCCACGTAGAAGTCAGGAGTCTAGCATAAAAATGGGTGTTTCAAATAAGCCAAAAATGGAGAGAATATTAACTCAGTATTTAGCTTTGACTTGTCATATACATTTAAGAAAGAAGAAACATTTGAGGCTGAGATGTCACTGACAACACCCACAGTGACATTTACCCAGATAAAACTTACCAGTACATTTAATCAAAATAAGGTGGCATACAACAAGACATTGTCCTGCAATAGTTTATCACTTTTCCACTGTACCCATCTTAATTAAGTTACTACGGATTTACATGGAGTTAATGGAGAGGTCATTTTGAATTGAACAGCCCATCATCCTGACTTAAGATCAATTGATTCCGATCCCCAAGCTGATTTAAGTTAACTGACACCAAACTAGCAGCTCCCAAAAGGGCATTTGACCAGCCTGCAACTCGGGTTTCATTAAATATTTACCTCATTAATCTTTTGGAGTAATTCGGGAACCCCTCCAAGTGTCATTGAGGTTTGCTGGTAGTCCCGATGCTGCAGAATCATGTGTACCATTTCTGGGTCTCCTGTACTGACAGCCTCATGCAAAACTGAAAGAAACCCAAACACGGAGGTGGGTGCATTTTTTGTTTTTAGCCAAAAAGCAGAACGCCTACAACACACGTTGCAGACATGCCATGCAACGACCATGACGACACACACAGGGCCAGATTTCAGAGGTGCTGGGTTTAACGCAAAGGTTATTAACAGACAATTTCCACTTGCGATCTAATCTCTTACCAGTCCATCCCTGGGCATTCTCTTTGGTAACATCTGCCTTGTGGCGAAGGAGGACTTTGGCAGACTCTATGTATCCCAAGGAAACAGCAAGGTGCAGCAAGGTCCGGCCTCGTGGATCCCGTTGATCAACATCCTGTTGAACAACCAAGAGGTAAATGATGCTGAGACCATTCAATCAAACCCCCATCACCAGAAGACACCGAGGACAGATAATACAAAGCTTTTCAGTGATAAGCTACAATGGGTCAATATGCATTATGTATTCTTACAGAACCATTCATGGTTTGCAGTCACTTTATCTTATATGACTTGCTTTGATACCCCTGTTGAATTGCCTAATTGTCCTCTTACAAGCCTGGCTTTCACAGAAATCCAATTGGAATAGGACTGGACTCTTTTAAAGTGATTGGGAGTAAGAGGAAAAGGGGGTGTTGGGAGGCAGAGAAAGCAGCCAGCTCTATATGAGGTTCCTCCCCCCTCCTGATCTGCAGGCACGATTTTTTCAGGAAATGGCAGGGTTCCATTCTCTGTACTTTGTAACTTTGATTTATTTAGTCACCAGTTAAAGTGGCCACTAGAGGGTATCATGACATACAAAACATTAAATCAGCCAAAAATCACAGAAGTGAGTGACAGGCTATACAATGCACGTTTTGTATAGCATTTAGTGAGAATATGGAAGTAAAATGGCAATTAAAAGAGCATCAGTTTGACTGAGACACACAGGACAATGGAGAGTGAGTACATTCTATACAAATCACTAAGAAATGCAACCACATGAGGCATAAATACCCAAAACATGCAAGCACAACATACTCATACCTTACTTCTATTTTTCACTACTAGCTTTAGAGATCTGAAACAGAAGAAGATCTATAACTAAAGGAAAAGGGGAAAAGTCAATAGTGGAATAAGATAGGAATATTATGCAAATTGAAATGGTTATCTGACAGCATTAAGTCTGAAACACCAAGATCGAAGAGTAAGGAAAGTTTGAATTACAGCATCCTCATCTCTCGCTGCTGTGATTAAGTACAGCAGTCCTTGCGATCTTCACTCAGTTTCTCCAAGCTGTAGTGCCTAATGCAGTGAAAACAAGGATTCTGGATCAGTTATCTTCATTTCTCTTCTGCTGTTAACCTGGAACTGTGCATTGCATTAGTCATTTCATGAGGCTGGCTCAAGTTTCCTTCAATACCTCTGCCACACACAGCACATCTGCCCCACACAAGAAGCAGTTTGGACAGAGGATGCAGAAGTGACATCTTTGATTTAAAGAAGACACTTCAAGCTTAGTGCATGTATTCTTTCCCTTCCTTTAAATGTAGTCCATTTACTTGCGCTGTAGACCACTGGGGGCAGGAAGCTGGACCTTCTTGCATTGCCATAATTACAACGATGCAAATCACCAGAATAAACCAGTGCCAAAATATTCCCAGTTATGGTACAACTGTTTAAAAGACGGTAACATTATTTTAATAAAGATTTAAACATAAAGAAACAAGCACCCTAACCAATGTGTCAGTAAAATAAATATTGCAGACAGACTGGAGATTATAAGAATTAGAGATACAGTACACAGCATCCTAAAGAGTCGCTCAAAGAAAGAAGAAAAAAAGAAGACCTAAGCAAGCTTTACACAAATATTAGCATTTCAGAATGCACCAGCAAAGTGCAGACAATCATCCTAATTAGCATCACAAGGTGACACTGTCTGACACTCGGTGCATGGACCCACTGTATCAGGAACAATACAATTAACAGGCTATGCGTCTGCCAACTGGTGCCCCGTGCCACAAATCCCAGCTGTTTAGCTGTGTATTAATAAAGTATCTATCACCACAGGATCTCAGTATTTGGAGCTGCACTGGAAATCAGTAATGGCAATATCTGAACTCAACAACTGGATCATTTCAACTGCTTGGGCTCCGATGCAGATTTCGAACCCATTTCTGTCTGTATTTTAATGCTAACGGTGTGCCCACTTTACACCTGCCCTACCGGATTTGGGTGGTTTAAGACGATCACGTACGTTTTGTCACCGGAGCAAACATACTCAGCTATTGAGACCCTAAGTCTCCACCTGGAAAGCTCAAAGAACTTTAAAAAAGGGACGTTTGTATTTTAACCTGCAAGGACTACTGACTTTGCAAAACAAAAATCATAGCATCCATCAGTGGAGAGGAGGACAGAGAATGATTCAAGAGCGTGCGAGGAAAACAGCAGCAGTTTTCAGTGAGCTACTGGCTGCCTGAGCACGCCATGCTGAGAAAAAAAAAGTTTTGCTCAGGTCCCGGCAGACCTGTCGCTGCGCAGGGCTTGCGGTGGCGCTCTCTCAGCAGACAGCATTAAGGCCCATCACATCTGCGTGTTTTTTGGCTCTGGGTCCAAGCCCAACCCTCCCCACCCAAGATCAGCAGACAGCATTTAACAAGTTCAGCGATATCTCTGCAGACATATTCTCGGTGCCTGCCCGTAACGGCCCCTTCTCATCACCGATAGTGCGTCGGCAGCCCCAACAGCCCGACGGTCCCACGCATCGCTAAGCTACCCGGCCGCGTCCTCGGGGAGGGTGCGTCACGGGACTCTTTTGGGACTGCCGGTTATTCCACACCAAGACGTGCAGCGGGTACTTGCTGCTGGCTTTGCCCGGCGAACTCATCCTGCTGCCTGGCGCTCCCGAGGGCCCTGCTCTCCCCTGCTTCACACCCCCAGCCCTGGCCAGGGGTGGGG